TCATTGCTTATCGACAATTGCCTATCTGCACTCCATCGGTTATCTTTGGCTTATCCAACTCTCTCCAAGTTGCGAGATCAATTCGCTCAATGGATGCCCGAGTTTAAAAGCATATACAAGTCACTGCTTTAGCTCCGCCAGTCTGATGTGAGTGATCTGATCGAAGTGCGATGGCTGAGTATCATTCATGTTGGTGCAGTCCGCTGATGTCGCCGATTACAAACAGACGTCAAGCACTAGGCTCCATACCATACCCCCCCCCATACCGGTCTCAGGTCCTCATACCCTGCAATAATCGAATCTCATTCAACCTCTTCTCCAAACACACGCCGAATCCTTCGATAGACCGACTGTAAATTTGTTCGCCTTATATTGGTGGGTCCCCTTCATCTATCTCACGACAAGGTTCCTGATAGCCTCGGTACCTTGGGTCGTTGTGATAGCAACCCTCTACGCATCATGCAAGACACATGCTGACTTGATGTCATTTGGATGGAACAGTCGTTGATGCGGCACATTGTACAAATTTGAAAGATCAAATATCGTGCCCGACGCGATCTTCGTTCCATCATACGATTGACGCAACCTCTCTTTCTTAGCAATTTCCCGAGTCGCAACGACTTCGCCACCTCCGAGACCTGTGAGCAAGACTTTGGTCTGTGAGGAGTTTCCAAAGACTAGAATGCTATTGGATGCTATGGTCGGACAAGATCAGGACCATAACCCAAAAGTGGTGGACCTTGCCAGTATCCACGAAATTCCGGGAAATATGCCTGGTGAGTTTCGCAAAGACAATTCCCTCGGTGCAATTCTTACCATATGTAGCTCCAAAGGACGCAAAGAAGCAGACCGACCTGAGCGGTCAAATGGGTGCCAATGGCAACATCCCGCCCCCTAAAACAGATAAGCCTCGGCCCCACGTCTGCACCACCTGCGGTCGCTCATTTGCGCGATTGGAGCACCTCAAGCGCCATGAGCGCTCCCACACAAAGGAGAAGCCATTCGAGTGTCCGGACTGCGCGCGGTGCTTCGCTCGGCGCGATCTGCTCCTGCGACACCAGCAGAAGCTACACATGACCACCACGCCATCTTCCCGACCGAGAAACGGTCGCCGTGAGAGTACGGGCGCCGCACCCGGTGCTAACCGGGTTCGCAAGAATTCCATTGCCAACAGTTCAGCTTCTTCGATGCGCCCGAGGGCCAACACCATCAGCCACGTTGAGGGGGCGGCATTGGGTATCCCCGGTGCCGGTAATCCGTCATCTGCGCCCACCCAATCGGCTCACGCATATCACCCCAGCCTTAGTTCTTCGGTCGGCTCAAGTATGGACTATAGGGGATTCGGCTCTGGACACACTTCGATGAACGGCCTCGCGAAGATCGAAACTTCCGGACTTCCTATGGACATGTCCGGAGGACTTCGGACTGCTCCCGTGTATGGGAGCTTTGACACGGGTATCGATGGCATGCTGATGGGCCACGGTAGCACCATCAACCCAGCGCAATTACACTTTGCAGGATCCCCACAAGGCTTCAACGATTCGCCCTCGTCTCCGTTCGGTCACTATCACAATGGACTTTCAACCACTGCGGATCCCATGATGGATGAAGATATGCACTTTGACTGGATGAACGGGTTTGACACAGGCATGGTTATGGGAAATGGCAACGACTCAGTCATTGACGAGTCATCGCCATCCGCAATGAGCACGGGTAGCCAAAGCGGAATCAGCGAGGCCATGTTGGATGGTCCGAATCGCATTCCTATCTCTAACGGTTGGCACAACGCGTTCACTGCCCACCACCCGGCCAACCAATTCGCCCTCGACTTTTCCCCAACGACGTTGAACGATCTGGGGTTCCCCCCGGAGACAGTGTCTCCCAAGTCTCTAATGGCCCAGAATCCGTTTTCTGAGACGTACGCTACCCCCCCATCTATGACCTCGGTCGGCCAGCCCGTCATGGGAGGACATTCTCAGAGTATGTTTCCCTCTATGGCAACCAACGGAGAATCTCCTAATCCTCTCAACGTTCCTTTCCCGAATAGTGCCCTACGAAATGAACATTCACCAGTCTCAACGGATACATTTACAGACTCCACACGACAGGCTCTATTAGCGAGCATGTCGACCCCCACTGGCTTCAATCATCGCAAGTATTCCCAGCCCGCAAGTGGACTTCTAAACAGTCGCGAGTTGTTCGCCCGTTCGACTGGCTTCAACAGCTCCAGTCAACTGCCCAGCACCTCGGACTTACAACGGTACATTTCGGCCTACATCACCTACTTCCACCCCCACATCCCGTTTCTCCATATCCCCACGCTCAATTTCCAAGCTCCCCAGTATACAAACAACCTGCGCACGCCAAGCGGACACCTCAATCTCAGCTCGACCGGCGTCGCTGGAGGCGGGGGTTGCCTGATCCTCTCCATGGCGGCTATTGGTGCTCTGTACGAATACGAATCTGCCGCCTCCAAGGATCTCTTCGACGCCGCGAAAAAGATGATTCAGTTATACCTCGAAGAACGACGAAAGGCCGACATGTCTGCTGCTCTCAATCGTTCACATTCCTCCCGCGATAGCTCAGTACACAACACCCCGCTTTGGTTGGTACAAGCAATGCTCTTGAACGTTATATACGGACACACCTGCGGCGACAAGACATCCGCAGATATTGCTAGCACACACTGTGCTGCTTTGGTCAGTCTTGCACGCGCAGCCGAATTGACACATCACCTGGACCCCAAGAACCTGCCGCAAGATCATCTTGTTGCTGGTAAAAATGGAAATGATTCTGCTGGTGACTCGGAAAACTGGATGTCTTCGTCGTTTAGTCAACCGAAAGAGCGCCGAGATTGGCTGAATTGGAAGATTGGAGAGGAGCGGAAACGTACCCTCTACGCTATCTTTGTTCTTTCCAGCTTTCTCGTCTCTGCCTACAACCATTCACCTGCACTCACAAATTCGGAAATTCGCCTTGATCTTCCCTGTGAAGAGGACCTTTGGGCAGCCGAATCACCCCAGGCCTGGAAGAAGATGGGCGGCCAAACAAAAACCTCGTCCTTTTCTACTGCTTTGACGTCTCTTCTAACTGCCAGCCAACGAGAGCAGAATCAATCGGCGAACTTGTTCCACAACTCTGACGATCTCTCTAATTCTGAAAACCGCCCGAGTACTTTCGGCTGCCTGGTACTCATCTACTCACTCCACAACTATATCTGGGAGACTCGCCAAAGGCACATGGGCCGACAATGGACACCGCAGGAGACCGATGCTATGCAAGCCCACATCGAGCCCGCTCTACGGGCATGGCAAGCAGCATGGGCTAGCAACCCTGTCCACAGCCTAGAGCGACCGAATCCGTTCGGGGCTGGACCTTTGTCTGCAGACAGCATCCCCCTTCTAGATTTGGCCTATGTTCGTCTATTCGTCAACCTAGGCCGATGCAAAGAGGCGTTCTGGCAACGCGATTGGAATGGCATGGCGGATGAGCTCGCACGTGGTACTGAGATTTTCCAGCACTCAGATGCTGCAATGAACGACGTTGTCGATCCGTCTCTCACGGGTCACATTGACGTGAGACGAGACTCCATCGCCGATTTAGGAGTTTCAGATCTAGCCATCTCCAAGACACCGACACAAGATGATCCCATGCATGCTCTCTCCAATATATATAAGATGGGCCAACCTAAGCGTGAAAAGCACCTGCGCAAAGCAGCATTCTACGCAGCAGATTCTATATCTATGTCGGATCGTCTTGGTAACACTTTTGCCGAGTTCTCGTCGCGTGAACTACCCATCCAGTGCGCGTTGTGTGCTTTCGATTGTGCACAGGTGCTCGCGGAGTGGATCACTACTGTTCAAGAACGGGTGGGCCCCTACCTTGGTATCCTTGGCCGCGACGATGTCGACTTGACTCAAGTACCTGGAGTCATGCTATTAGAAGACGAGGACTGCAAGCTGGTGGACAAGATCAAGGAAATCTTGCGGAGTATTGAGATGAAAATGCAGCGCCAGTACCAAACTGGAAATTCCATGTCCGCGCTGAGTGCTGTGCAACGGCTACCCAGTCTTGTGGAAGGAGGATACGGATGTAAAATATTGATTGCGACAGCCAGTCTTTTGGAACGAGCTGCTGTCTGGCCAGGTTAGTTTCAGCCATCCCCAAACTTCCACAAATCAAAACGATTCTCTAACACCTACCCGCAGTGACGAAACTGATGGCCCGCTCTCTGGAAGCCCAAGCCATGCGAATGAAGGAGCGTACCGAGCACTCCGTGATGATGACCCCTTAATGACCATTCCCACCACCATATATTGCCCCCATCTCTCCAACTCCTATTTCGCATTCGCGCGCGCCCGTGTATCATGAATAAACAATCCCAGGCAACAACACCCCTTCTTCCCATCGAAGCATGTGTATCTGCACCAATAACCCGCACCCGTTCCCTCCCTCTCTCTCGCAACATGCGTACCGCCTTTGATACCCTGCTTTGAGACTTTGATTATCTGTGTCATAGACAAATTGCCTGCTCATGTCATTTCATGTTTCTCCGATTGTTAGCGTTCTTGCTTTTTGTAACCCCCGACTGATGTCCTTGCTGTGGTGTGATGTTGAATTGGAGTGTGGAAATTTCTGGTTTCCTTTCCTCGACTTACTGACTTCGGTCGAGGCTGAGATTTCATTATTCTTTCCTTTGCCTGTGCGGTGTTTGATTATCCAGAATTATACTTCGTGTGAATATGATTTACCTTTCTTCAAGGGTTGCTGTTAGTATGTAAATGCTAGATCACGATCTATATATGCCAACTTGCAATTAGAATGGTTATAGCTGCTCTGTAATTTCGTCATGATCGCAACTGCTGAAGTTGGGTGCCTAATGTATTCAAAAGTGGTAGAATACTATTGGGTAAAAGTGACAAGGGGTCACGTGAATGAAAAGGTATTTCGGACAAGGATAGAGCAGGCGATACCGCCATCGTCCACTCCTGCTTTTGGCCATGAGCTCGTCTGCCAAGCGCCCTGGGCGCCTCGGGGGCACCAAGTCCAAGACCGGGTGCGATACATGCAAGTCAGTTGCCCCCTAGAAAGTCGATTAGTAGCCGTATTTGACATTTGATTCGCAGAATTCGCCGCGTAAGGTGTGGAGAGGAGAAACCACACTGCCTGAGATGTACTAGTACAGGACGGCGGTGTGCCTATGGCGGGGGTCATGCCAGGACCATTATCGGGCGACTCCAGCCGGACATCACACCCTACACAAGTCAGGGATCGCGAGAGCGTCGTTCTTTCGAATTTTATTTCCACCAAGCTGGCCCATCACTTTCAGGAGTCCTGGATCAGGCTTTCTGGAGAGGATCCGTCCTCCAAATATGCCGGGTAGAGCCACTTATCTGGGATGCGATCATCTCGCTTAGCGCGCTCTACGAGCGACCTCCCATTTACGAGACGTCGCCGTGGTCGCTTATAAATGATCCCGCCGCGGTACGACATGAGTACCATCACGAAGCGCTGGTCTGGTACTCGCGCTCACTGGCTCTTCTACAGCAACGTATTAATCAGGGCACGGCGGACCTGACGGTGTCCTTGGTCAGCTGCATTCTCTTTATTGCCATTGAGCTTTTACAAGGAAGCCGCAAAGCTGCTCAGATCCTGTACAAACATGGTGCGCAGCTGGTTTTCAGTGCTTCGTCAACAGCGACTTCGACTATTGCAACCCTCGAGCCTATCTTTCGCCGTCTGGGGACATGGGTCTTCCTCACCAATGGACTACCTGAAGAAAGCTGCGATCTTCATTTGGCTGTTCCAGACGAGCAATTCAAATCCATCGAAGAGGCGAGGAACGTCTTGTGTAGCATTGTAGCCGAAATGAAGGCCCTTAACATTGACTCCAAAGCTTATATACACCGAACAGCAGATGGCCGGCTGCACGAGGTATCGGAGTTGGCGGCCAGACAACAGCACCTGAAAACCCGACTCGCTCAATGGTATCGCCTCTTTACAGACTTGAACCCTATGCTTACCTCGAACGTCGACGGTGCAACTGCGCTTCTTCTAATGACATATAAGAGTGTCTTCATCGAAGCAGAAGCCATGCTGAACCCTGATCAAAGTGTATATGACGCCTACGAATCTGAATTCGCCCAGATCATTGACCTGGCCCCCACCGCGGTTGCATGGACACGCAGCTCGGAAGGGAAACAACCACCATTCATGTTTGAGATGGGCGTGTTCCTTCCACTTTTCATAACAGGGCTCAAATGCCCCTTCCCACAACTACGCCGCCAGGCGTTACGGTACATGGGGGAAGCTCCCCCGGCACAAGGGCTGTTCATGTGCACTCCGGCCGCTCATATCGTGGCCATTCTTATTGGGCTAGAAGAGAACCCCGACACCATGCCAGAAAAGGTCTCGCAGGTATATGAGCTGCTGGCCAAACCGGGGCATATCCCACCAGCCCAGCATCGCACATGTGATTTTAGTGTGTCGTCAGTCATGGATAGGCATGGTAGGACGCGGAATTTGTTGAATTATACACTTTACCATTTTGATGATGAGGGAAGGATACAAATCGTCGAGAAAACGCTGCCATTCCCTGCATGAGGTCATCAGCTTTAATATTTTTTATGATAATACGATCTAATCTCTGAGAACACTTCTACAAAGACTACTAGAAAAGACTGTCGTCTAAGCGCAGAGTATGTATTCTTGCTCTCTTTTAGTTCTTAGTATATCTACAGTATAATTCTTTATTTATTCAACCCGCACGACCTCGTCTAGTAGTTTGTTTTATAGAAATAAAGAGTGCAAAATAATTGCGGTGAGCCAGGCGGTCAAGGCCTACTATGGGATTAGGGGATAAGGTATGATGACATAATATTTCCCCACCCGTGGGTCTCAAGGTTGCTGGGGCATCAAACGCGTTAAGTGGTTTCGCGAACCATAATCTCTGCTATATCTGCCTGGTATCAATCGCACATGGCCAGTCTATCTCTGTGCTGGAAATGAATACAGCCTCCAAGCATCCACCTAAAACCCTCCCATCGCAGCGTCCGACAGCCGCGGCTTCTCCACCCAAGAATTAATGTCCGCTCAGCTCGAAACTCAACCCCAATGCCCTATCCACGGCCTGTCTCCCCGGTCTCTCTCGAAACATGCCCGCACTCATCCTCGGAGATAGACTCAGATGACCTGGTTGCCTCGGATGATGAGTTGGATGGTGCTGCCCGAGCTGCAAAGCGTCAGCGGGTCGAGAAGTTGGCGGAGTCTTATCTGCAGGGCAAACCGCTGTTTATTCTCTCCTCTTCGCTCCGAGGCCCGCTTGATAATGGATGGGCGAATCCATGGAAGAAAAACAGGACACGGGGTACTGGCGCAGCAGTGAAAGCTCGCCAGAAAAATGTTCCCGAGCCGGTGGTCCTGGAAACTGATTTGCAGGCCTCGAAATACCGAAAGGATCTATCAGTTGGTACTCGTCGTCCGGATATTCCAGCGACATCTTGGAACTCCCCTAGGATCTCTGTGCAAATCGGAGACCGTTCGTCACCCTCTAAATCGCCACGGAGACATCCCAAGGAACCCATCCCGCGCTCGGGGCATACTGGGCAAAATAGAGCGTTGCGACGGTCTCCCATCAAATCAAAGGAACCGCCGTCGGCGACAGTGGATGAACCGTCGTTAATGCCGCCTAGGACAGCGGATTGGCTGAAGAAGGATCGGAAGCTCATGAACTTCACCAGGTTTGAACCGCCGAGCTCGCCAACAATATCTGTTGCTTCTCGTCAGTCGGACAAAGCTGGTCGACTGGCACCGCGCTCTGTTCAAGTCCAGGTCCCACAGACGCCGGCATCTCCAGAAAAATGCCATCCTGTCAAGCCTGTCCTAGCAAAGACAGCTCAGAGTGCTCGTGTGAACTCGAACGAGCACGTATCCCTGCGGTCCATTCGGGCCACCTTGAATTCACCTAAGGACCCTACTGTTCCTTCTCATTTGCCCCGGGAGCCGTCTCTCCGAATCGTTGATTCTTCCTCTCAACTGCCGAGGTTTGAATACCGGAGGTGGCCCCGTGAACGTTCTAGTCAACAGCTGAAGACTTCCCCTATGCGAGATGAAAGCATCTTGCAAGAAGAGACTTTTATACAGGAGGACAGCCCTCTGAAAGAAAAATCCATAGTCGATCTCGAACCTGCCAGTCCTAGTCCCGCTAAGGATCAAGCATTGGATCCTGCTGAACCTGAACCCGAACCCGAACCTGAACAACCACAACCACGACCTAGAACTGAAACTGAAACTGAAACTGAAACTGAATCTGAACCTGAACCTGAGCCTGAACCTGAGCCTGAACCTGAACCTGAACCTGAACCTGAACCTGAACTCGAACTTGAATTTGAACCCTCGGTTCCTGAAGAAATACCAGTTCAGAATGAGGACTCTATCAAGAAAGATGCAAGCCATAAGACCTTGTCGAAAGAAACTAGGTTTGCAGATGAGGATGATCTCATAGAGGATAATCTTGGGGTGGAGGAAGCCGCAGCAGAAGGTGCCGCCGATGCAGAGGCTGTGGCGGAAGATGTTACAACCGAGAAAGATATATCGACATTCCAAAACACAGATCACTCTGGATCAACTGAACATAACACCTACGATGATCTCCCTTCTGCCCAACAAGTGCCACCCCCCTTGGGAGTGTCAGACCGGGTAACGTCGCTTCACTCGACGGCTTTGGCAAGAGTAGACCCAGGACAAGACTCTCCCCAAAGCCCCGATACCCAGCTTTCGACCCTGGCTGCCCTTTTGCATGCCCAGAGGTCCTTTCAAGACGACCTGGACAGTCCAGAATTTCACGCTGAGACACCGGATTCGGACCGAGCAGTGCATTCACCCGATGCTTCACTTCGCTCAGCCAATGTCACTCCATTCTACCGTCTAGAAGAGTCGATTCGACGTGATCTAGAACGGAGTTCAATATCCAAGAACAAGGATGGGATGCATGCAATGAGCACGCAATTCATGCTCGATGCAGCTACACCTTTCAATTTCAGCACTGAGCAAGCTGGTCAAGATCGGAGCTTGAAACCCACGAACAGAAATATGACGCAAGCAATGAATACGCAGTTCATGCTCGATGCAGCTACACCCTACGCTTTTAGCACAGAGAAGAGACAGCGTACATCCCGACCAGACTCAGGTTCACCTACGGCGAGAGGCTCCAAGAGAAAAAGAACGGCCAATATCGGAAGCCCTTCTCCTTCTATTAGGAGTCAATCAACATCTGTCGACAACGAATATCACACTGCGGAATCCCAATCAAGCGAAGATGATGAAAGCTCACGATCAGTGGCCGAGCAGTTGGACCATCAATTAACTTATCAATCCCCCACAGAAGCTGCGTCCTTACCCCTCACCTTAAGCGAATCGGTGCCAACAACAGGCCAGGATGGACAAGGCGTTCGCCAGGGAATGGAGAGCTTCAACCTCAGTCAGGCAATTGCGGATGCTGGTAGTTGGCTTCAACAAAGTTTTGATTTCATGAGCAGCGCTCGGCCAAGCAGGAGTTTCAACGCGATTCCTACTTCTGACGCGCGCCCTTCCCCTTTAAACATGGATGTATCTCAATAACGAGAACTCCTTGATGCTAGCGACTAAGTTCCTCACTTCTTGGTCTTCCCATCTTCCCATTTTCTTATCTTCCATAGCGTGTTGAGAGCTCCAGCTTGGTAGCGAAGCTGTTCTGGACATGACAAGATCGTATAGATACTGCTCGACCACGGAGTCAAACAATCTGCACCCTATCAATCTCCTTTCAAAGGGTTTAAAAGACTATAAGACTTACAGACTACACAGCCTACTCAAATGGAACCATACTTCCTTTATTATCAATTCCTCGGCCATTTAGATAACGGCGCTATGATTCTCGTCATTGGCCATGAGCCACTTAATGTTTAGTCATCGGCTTGAAAGCATCTTCACTTTACTTCATAACTATGTACCGGATAATGGACTTAGTCATGAATTCCAATATCATTTTCGGTTATAAATCTAGAGCAACGGAGACGCAGGTGTCAGATTCCAGGACACTCTCAGAGAATAGACTGAACACTCGGCCAACGATACTCGATATAAAGTTCGGAGCTCTCAATATTAAAACATTCGGCTGATTGATTCTCTACACTAGACTTACTATTTTTCTTACCGCAAACAGCATCTTTAATGAGGAGAGAAGGGCAGCCTTAGCCATGGAAAACGGAATATTATTGGTAGTTGTTGAAACAAACAAGGGGCAATATATGATTCAGGATAGGCGACCAGAATACTAGCGTATTACTTATGAGATTGAAGAGCATGCTATAGGAATATAATAATCTCGAAATGTTTTGGGAAGGACTTTTGTCTGAAATCTGTTAGCTAGGAAATGGATAAGAATCGAACGCAGCCAGTTATCTCAGTCCTAAGCTGCCCTTAAGGACTAACTCAGACTATTTATTCTGCTGAGCGAAGAATAAGTTTCGAAACCGTTAGTATTCTAAGTTTGTCTCTACCTAACTATTCCGTTCGAATAAAACCTAATGTAACATTATTATATAGATTCTTCCGATGCCGCAGAGGACAATGACAGCTTGCTATAATAGGAAGCTATCCCAAAGCCAGGCATAGAAACGTACGCCTTTCAGCATGGGAAAATCCAAGAATAAACAGCGATTACATGCTATAGCCTGAGGCAGTTGGCAGTTTCGAAGTCCGGTACTATTAAATGCTTCCGAAATAAAGATAGTTGGCAATACCGAGGGAACATTTCAAGCCACTACTTATTAGGACATGTCTTATGTATGCTTGATACTTGGACTCTGAGTTCGCGACAAGTCCCAAAGGCCCAAATGAAAGATGCAAATGGGCTCCATTCTTATATAAAGGGCGTAGTTCCCAAGAGACTACGCAGGGGTCCTTTGGCTGACTGGATTTAAGTAACATGACCTTCTTTGAGATCTGAGAGGGAACAGACCCGTGCTTGAACCCCCCCAGTTTGATGTCACCTACTAAAATTCACTTCTACTTACATATGTTTAACAGATACGTCCAGATAAACGAATAACAAGCTGAAGATGAAGCAGATTGTTACTCACTCTAGATCAAAGTCAGGATGTTTGAGAATTTTTCAGTGTTATTGGGCACTCTGTCGCTCATCACTTCTTACTCTGTTCTTAACCGTTTGTTCTTTGCCGTTTGCTGTTCACAAATTGTTGCTGACTATTTGTACTCGACAAACAATTTCACTGATCATTGGGACATACAATAGAGCAACCAAACCCTCAATAAGATCTCAGACGTGAACCCTGCGAGTCAGTTCTAGCTTAGTAGGCTATTTAGTATAAGTAGTATTAAGATACAGTGACCATAAAGTAGCCATAGTATCCTTACCGATATTTATTAACTAGTATAGAATAAGATGATAAATTAGGGGACAACCGTTATCAAATTTAGAATAATAAAAACGTTCAACCAAGCAACCTTTGGCCTAATAGGCCGAACAAACAGGGCCCTATGGTTCATATGGGGTAATAGGAAGCGTGCATGTACAGCCAAGGTCGCGGTTGAAACGGTTACAGTTGTTAAGGAGCGCTGTTCTACTGTTAGTAAAAGTTCGGAGATCTACCATGACGACCTCGGGAGTTAGAGATCTCTTTTATAACCTAGACATTATAAGTAGGTAAGTATAATTAAACCGTTTGCATGCAGAATATGAGGACCTGTGAAATCGACGCCGAAAATATCAGCTTTTGACGCCAGAGCGGCTATAGTGCAATGCACATTAATATACACCTATAGATTTTGAATCATGCAAGTACTTATAGAAAGGGGTGCTCGTTGACTTACCAGCCTGCATTTGATTTTTGCTCAACATGAAATTAGTTGAGGCAGAGTGGTTCCAGCATGCCTCATTTGGGCAGACATCCTCACCAATGTTTCTCAACACTTGTCATGGACAGACACGGCTGAGCTGGTGCAAAACGATGCATGTGAGCAACCAGACAAACCGAGGAGTCTACAAATACCGCCCGTAAGATCTTCGTGCCACTGGATCTCTACATTTTCTATCAGCAAATCCATTGGAATGAAACAAGAAATGATCCTGCCTTGAAAGAGCGTCTCCTTCTCAAGATTGTATCACGCATGCGTTCGATCGTATTACAATCTCTCTTACACCAATTTAGATATGCAGGTCAAAATTCCAAAACAAAAGACGTTTGCTGGCTCATACGGTCATTGGACGGCTTAAATACAGTGCTCAGTGGCGCCCTTGATCACGGCGAACACCCCGAAGGATATCGCAATCCCGGAAATCAATATCACGTTCGGATACCGATCCCCATTTGAGCTTCCTGGTCCAAGGCCTAACCAAACCAGACTTCCCACACGGGGCGAGTAGGCCTAGGGCGCAGCCTCCGTAGCCAATATTGGTGGATTGCTCCCTTCATTGCGGTATTGTCCTGGTCTCGACTACTGCGCCATGTGTCTTGGACTTCCGAGGCGCTGTACCTTGCCCTTCATGTATCTTCCAATTTCCCGGATCGTCACTGTAAATACCTCTTTTCCCACCCCCATCAACCTAAAAACGTCCTCAACAGATGTGCCCTCTGCACCCTACTCTGACAAGTTCAACATCTTGAGAGACAAATCCCACAACTTCTTCTCGCCCTCCGGATCGAAGGCGTGTGGTGCAACACCGACCGCCAGTGTACCACCCTCGGGGACCGGGCCAGCTTCCTGGCAATCCTCCAGATAGACACCACCCTTGCCTTCCCATTCCTTACCAAGTGCAGCCGTTATGGTTGTGGCAGCGCCCTGAGCCGAGCTCTTGGCATACTTTTGCGCAAACTCACTTGAACCCCACTCCTTCAACGTTTCCGGGTCGACGTGGCGCTGTAGGCTTGTGGCAATACCACCAGGCATCAACGAGAGGCCGTGCAGACCCTTTGACCCGTATCGGTGCTCGATCTCGTTCGTCATCCAAATACAAGCTGTCTTGGCATTGCCATATGCCTTCCACGGCTCGTACTCACCCTCAAGGTTAATGTTGTCGAGCACAACAGAGCTCATGTGATGGCCGGCGGAAGAGACGTTGACGACGCGGGATTGGAACTCAGGTGTGGAACTGGACAAGAGCGTCTGCTCGAGTAGCTTGTAGAGAAGGAAGTGGCCGAGATAGTTGATTGCAAGCTGCGACTCGAAGCCGTCCACTGTCTTCGCCTCTGGGCATGCCATGATCCCCGCATTGTTGACCAAGACATTGAGCTGGGTTGACTTGGACAGAAAGGTCTTGGCCGCGGTGCGGACGCTTTCCATTGAGCCAACGTCTAGCTCAAGCAGCTCCACACGACCGGGTTCAAGTATCTCTGCCAGAGCTTGCTTTCCCTTCTCCAAATCCCGAACGCCAAGATACACTTTACCACCAGTTGCGGCGAGCGCACGACCAGTTTCAATGCCAATTCCTCCAGAGGACCCGGTGAGAAGAAAGACCTGTTTATGGTCAATTCCAGTTCTGGTCTTCAGCAGCAGCAATGCCCACCTTGTCCTTCATGTTATCGATCCGGTCGTTGTCCTTGAGAATGTCAAGAGCTGTAGGTCGAGCGTCTCCAGGCCCATTCTGCTCCAAGAAGGCCTGAGTGTACTTGCCATGCTTGCCAATGTGATTACTAATGAGCGGATTGGCCATGATGGTGATTGTGATGATGGAGGATAGCTGGTAGATTGAGTTTGCAAGTGGATGCTGGGGAGAAGGTGTATGTCTGGTGGGGCTTTATATAGGGTGCGGGGGAGAGCGTGGTGATGGGGTGACTTGCACTGGCACGACTTGGAACATGGGTCCAGAGCTGAAAGACTGTTCGAACCTCGGACTTTATTTCGGATTTTGCTTAAGACCGTTTATCGGGCGAGGATATTCAGACAGATCCACATTCAGTACTATACCCGTCCAATTAAGATTAACTCCATCAGCCACGATATTGGGCTTAAATCCACCATATGACCACATCATCGTTATTTAACAAAGAAGAAGGGAGCTGAAAATGTGGTTTCGTCTTTTTTCCGGAATAGGATAGCAGCCGAAACGAATCGCCAAAAAGACCATCGGGATAAGCCCGAGTCGGGCAAGCGGGGAGACAGGAACAAAGAAACCCCTGTTGGTCGGGCTGCCTTGATGGCTCCCTAAAGAGGGGCCTGAACCCTGGCCCCCATACGTCTTCGGACCCTACCAGGTTACCTACCATGAGAATGCATGCCTGGATGATTCAAGTTAGAAGGCACTTGAAGCGCCTCAATAAGTACGATGACATATGCCTTGATAATCAAAGTACCCGGATTCTGCTGGCGTTTGCAAGGCCAAAAATGAATCTTTTACTCCATATACACCATATAAATGCGGACTGGCAAACCGGTAAATAATCTGGAGATACCTACATCTGTATTTAGTCCATAAGTTTCATTTTTTGGACTTGCAACCACCGGAATAATGGAGATACCTGATTTGTATGGTGTCCAAAAGCTTCATCTAGGCAGGTTGATGTATTGACAATTCACCGTACACTGTATTAGGGCGGTATAGAAAGCAGTACTAATTCAGGTATCAAGGCATCAGGATTCCCCTAAAAAGGGGGTTTGAGGGTCGCACAATGCATCTTGCTTAAGCTTAATCTGTGTAACGCGCTTCATGCTTATATCTATTCTTGCTGAATCTATACATTTAGTTGTAGCGACGCGTGGTCTTGCTCCACTGCTCATTGCCGCTCATCTGGTACTCTAGGCCCTTCATATACGCCTTGGCAGCTTCAGAGCAGCCGTCTGGGGATGCGATCTTCTCTGCCACGATCTCGTCATGCACAGTCTCCCACTCCCGAGTCATAGACCAAAGCACGCGTTTCGTTGCGGGTATACCAAGCTTGGACTCCTCCGCCAGAACCTTCACAGCTGAACAAAGGAAGGCTCCCTCCTTGTGTCCAGTCCGAGACGCTTCCTCTTCCTTGTCATAACTGTATATGTCATTGACTACAGAAAGCTGCTTGGCACAGTTGGCTTCAAGGGCTTTCATATCCTGAAGCTCATCTGCACTGAGTCTAAGTCCCATCGAGAATCTCATTAGAGCCGAAAGCAACCTGGCCGAACAGTCAGTATCACGAGCTCGAATCCTGGGCGAGAACACATACGCCTTGCCTACATCCTTCTCACGGTACTCGAGATAATGCCCCAATTCATGGATGCTCAAACGCGCTCGATCTGTCTGCGCGCGCATGAACACGAAAGTCGGCTCAAGAACTTCGTTGGCCAGCTCCGCATCATGGGCGCGCATGCTTTCCCAGAGGTCATAGAGAATGAACTCTTCTGGCTTGGTTCGGTCCGGGAGCACGTCTCCACGCGATATCGGGATCAATCTGTTGTTGTAGGCTTCTCCATCCGCGAAAGACATATGCTCAAGAACATCTACCCTCGTCAGTGAAGGCTACATTAGGCCATGTCCTTTCGCACTCACCATCGATAAGGAAGAGAACGGTCAGCAGTCGGCAGGCAAAGTGGATGCGATCGTCCAGTGCAAGAGGGAAGTAAAGACAAGTAACCTCTGAGAACTTGGCATCCAAGAAGGTGCGAACAGCCTTGAAGCTGGGAAATTTCCAGTTCTCCAGGAAGTATCCATCGACTTCGTCCTGTACCTCCTTCACTCGTGGATGGCAAAGGTACGACCACTGAGTAGGAGGCGGAGTGATCGTCGTGTCATTTCTGGGCCTGATTGTCTCTTTGACCAGAGGGCTATTGATAGGGTTTTCAAGGTGCACGAACGGTTGGGCCAGGGAAGAAATGGTTTCTGTTGAGGTAGCCATGTCGACGCTCACCGGGTTTGAAGGGTTATACTCGTGGATAACAGCTTTCAGTAAGTGCGAGGAAGCATATCGTCGAAAAAATACCAGACTTCGGAAACTCGTCCAGTCTTATCAGGAGCTCGAATTGATCGTGTACGTAGGACTCCGACGACCTGGATGAAACTAATTCGAACTGTCACATCTGGTGTTCTTTCCGAGTTCGCGCCCGGTCAATAACCAGCTGTTTCGATGTGTCGGGCCGAGTACCGTATGCATTTGCGGATTTAATTGGGAAATTTCCTAAATCGGCAAATTCAGGTAGAGCGCCCTCACAGGAATAGTGTACTGGACATGTCGGCCCTATTAGGACATGCCGGCTGGGCTTCGTAGATTTGCACCAACCCCGGCCTGAGTGAGATGAGTCAGATACACTACTACTAAGCGGAAGCGACCATCAGCAACCTCTACAAACGCAGCTATTCAGCTTGCCCCTTTTGGTGATGAGATAATACAGAAGCTAGAAACCCCTACTGCCATCAATGAGTACAATCACTATATCGGTAAGGTAGACTGGTATAAACCACCAGAGAATTCAATTCTATAAGCAAAAAGGCTTGCGTATGGTCCTAATATAAGAGACAGGAATGTAGCAGCGTGGCTCTATATGTGAAAGGGCAATGTCGGCATGAATTCCATAGAAAATAGCCACTTCGAATTAGGTTTAATTGATTAAACTGCTTCGTATTACTGGATCATTACCGCAATTAGCAAAATAGGACGCCTTACTATGTATGCGCTAGTAAAAGTTGTGCTGACGGACAAGGGCATACTCGGGAGTGACTCGGTAGATACATAAAGATCCTGGCCCTGCAGCTGCATAGTACCTTTCTGCTTAATATTGTTGGCTCCAATTTTGATTTCAGTATCTTTCTAAACAATCATCATGCTTTCTCTTAAAGCTTTTTTGGCCCTTTCTCTGTCTATTCATCTTAGCCAGGGTCTTGTGGCTAGCGTCTCGCACCGTCGCGCTAATGCATGCACTGAGCTCTCACGAAGCTACCCTGACAGTACCATTCACCCTGGATCTTCAGTCTTTGCCGAAGATGTAATTGGTAATGATCTTCTCTCTATGCATGTCAAGCCCCCCACGCGGAAAGGAGGCTAACACTTGATGGTGTAGAGCCCTGGTCTCAGACTTGTCAAACTACGCCCACGTGTGTTTTTGCCCCAGCTTCGGCCGAGGAAGTAGCCGGTGGCTTGGCTATCCTTCGTAAAGCCGACCAGACCTTTGCTGTTCGCACCCAAGGGCATATGCCCATTCCTGGCGCTGCCGACATCAGCAATGGCGTGCTCATGGTTACCACTAGCCTGAATAGCGTACAGTACGCAGACGACTCTAAATCTGTTGTCCAGATTGGCGCAGGAAACCGTTGGCTGGACGTTTACAAAGTGCTTGCCAAAGACAACCTTGCCGTTGTCGGTGGACGCTTTGGACAGGTCGGAGTGTCTGGCCTTCTGCTTGGTGGAGGTATCTCTTATTTCAACAGCGGTATGTTAACGACCGGTCACTTCCATGAAAAATTGAACTAATTGAGCAAGACCACGGTTGGGGAGCGAACAGTGTCGTCAATTACGAAGTTGTGCTCGCCAACGGTACTGTATGCGCGGCAAATGCGCAACAGAACTCCGACTTGTACTGGGCCTTAAAGGGCGGTTCTTTCAACTTTGGTATTGTCACACGTTTCGATTTGGCAACCTTTTCGGTTCCATACATGTGGGGGGGTAGCGCTTTCTACGACGCCTCGGCTTTGGATCCCTTGGTCAACGCATACGCAAGCTACGCTGTCGCATCCGGTGGTTCCAGCGATCCTGCAGCTCATTCTGATCCCTCGATCCTGTACAACGTGACTACTGGCGAGGTATCGGGCTATGGTATCTATATGCACAGAGGTGACGACCCGGCACCTGCTGCTCTCAAGAACTTCACCGATATACCTTCTACATTCCAGGACTTCCGTGTTGGAAAGACAATTCTGGGCCTGGAGAACGACACGACTCCTGTGAACTTTGGAGTAGGAAATCGGAGACAGCTTTTTTCGTCCACTGCTTTGGCTTCCAGCGCTGAGGCAGTGTACTTGGTCAACCAGACTTTCTTCGACGTGATTGCAGCAAACCCACAGATCAAGACCACGACGGATCTCAGCGTCACCAATACCTATCAGCTTTTCACCCCTGGTATGATCAGAGCCGCAAAAGCCTCGGGTGGAGATCCGATAGGGCTCTACGACCCACTCGGCAACGGGGTTCTGGGTAAGCATCTTGCGACTGTGTCTAAAATTACCCAGTTCATGAACTAACTTCTTCACTAGCTGTTCTGTACGGCGGTAACTGGGCCGATGCCAAGGATGATGAGATAATCTACAAGTTCTTCCAAGACATGATCGATGAGCTCGACAACAGGGCGAAGAAGTTGGGCCTTTACTATGATTTTGTTTACTTGAACGACGCAGCACCCACTCAGACCAAGGACATCTTCCAGAAGTTCTCGAACGGAACAGCTTTGCCGAAACTGCGGGAGATCGCTGAGAGCTATGATCCAGACCAGGTCTTCCAAACTTTGACTCCTGGCGGCTTCAAGCTCATCAACAGCCCAGCATGAAAGCTTCGGGATGGGCTCTCCATGGCTTCCTCTACCGCCAAAGTCTCGTCGAGGTATATGTTTATCGTAGGATGTGGTTACTTTTTCATGTTTGTATAATGCTATAGAGAAGACATATACTTGGCTCACAGCCGCCCCTTAAGCCTGTTTCTCCACATACTTCCCCCTCCTATATCTAGAGTGATTCGGGAACACTAGGTGTCTGTACTATCCTAAGGCGGGTGATATTTTTATTCATTTAGTGAGGTATGTATACGAGCACTCGGCAAGATTTCCAAAGAAATATGATAAGGAGGGGCTAGGCAAGTGGCAAGCTCTTTGCTACCTACTTAGCTGCCTTACTTGAATGGATAACTTGTATAAAGCTGCTTGTTCAAATACTTGGAGAGGTACTTGGATACATAGTTGGCTAGGTACTCGGATGGATACATGGGTAGGTATAAGGCTCACATATCTATGCGGCAAGCATTTGTGACTGTACTTGATTGCGGGCGAGCCCCGACTCACGGACCTCGACTTCTACCTGAAGTCTGCTGTAGCTTGCTGCTTTTTGGTCAAGTCAGTGTTCCGCCAGCCAAACCAGACCGGCCGCAGATCAGCCAACTTTTCCTCCAATTCAGTGTAGTGTTCTCCCAACGTCAAAATTGTGCGCCCGTTCCACTTGCTTTCCAGATCTAGCACATTCTCTTTGCCGTAAGTCTCAACCATCCGTGGCTGACGGGCCACGGCAGAATAAACCACTGCCAGACCCACCATGTGAGCAGAACTGACGGGCAGTCCGGCTGCCATGAGCGGCCCGGCAATATCCATGGGGAGTAGCTTCGTGATGGTTGCCGCTGGCGCAACTGCATTGATTGAGATATCGAAACGGGGGAGCGTCGAACGCAAAGAACGAACGAGACCGACCAGACCCGACTTGATAGCACTATACACCGGCAAGTTCTGTTCAGGCGCGTATCCAGTCGCACTAGCAGTGATCACAACGGAGCCACCCTTCCCTTGTTTTCGCATGTAGCTGACCGCCAGTTTGGTAAACATGACGGTACCTTTGAAATTGACGTCTACCACCGCGAATCCAGGCTCCTTGAGTTCGCCCTGCTCGTCAAAAGTATCCTCGAAGTATGGCTGTTCTTCGGAGACGCCAGCGTTGGCCACGGCAATGTCGACATGGCCTGCTTGGGCAAAAGCAGCTTTGAGTTCAGCCCAAGATGTGATGTCGGCCTTGATGAAAGTCGAATTTTCAGGCGCTTCGCCACTGTCGGGAGGGTTGCGGTCAAACAGGAAGATTTTGGCTCCGGCTCTTGCAAAGATATTTGCAGCGGCAAGCCCAATACCGGAGGCTCCGCCGCTAATGACGACCACTTTGCCGTCGAGCCGCGGGATGTCTTCTTCTTTGATGTTGAGAGATGTCATAGTAGCTCTTGGGGGTTGAACTGAGACGTGGTGGCACCTTAATGTATCCAAGTGGAGCAGTAAAGGTATAGATGCTGGCTGCCATCGGGGAATCATGGCGTTGTTCCTTGACTTTCATGAGTTCTGTGATGGATTCGCCCAACTCGAAATATGCCCAGATAGGCAAAAAGCCGGAACAACAAGAACCTACTAAAACGGGATAGCTAGCAATCAAGTCATTTCGGTGTGCCTCCCGTTGCCGGTTTAAGAGACAATCCGAGCAGTTGCATGCTTTGTGAATTGTGATGCAAGGGGATGTCGAAGTCCGGCTTCATTTCCCAGTGTGAAGAGATTAGAAAAATCACAATTTTATTTCCAACGCCTTTTTGTGAAAGATTCAAATTCCGTTATTACATGCTGTTTAGTGTATTACTCTATAGTATATTATTCAACAGTTTGCTGGGTGTTGGATCAGGGTTACGGCCTATAAATAATCATCAAATTATCAAATCGTGAATATCCATGATTCAAATGGATTCTTTTGATATTTTTTTGGTGACACTGAGGTGCTTTAGAAATTCTCCTAGTAGATATCCTCACAGGTGCCCTGCAAAGTCATCCGCGTCTCTTCTGCAAACTCAAATCCCTTTCAGGCCTTGAGACGTCTTTTTAAGAGCACTCGCACACTTGGATCGGGATGGTAGCCTCCTGGTGTCCACAGGCTGTCAGGTCGCCCTATATCTCCTTTAAACTTGAAGTCAAAGTTGTCGATCAAATGTACAAGTATCATCTTAATCTCATTCGCGGCGAAAAAACGACCTGGGCACGCATGCACACCATAGCCAAAGTCCAAGTTATTCGTCCCAGTCGCCGTAAACTGGTATTTGGACTCGTTACCTGGAAGGTCCCTAAGCTTCTGGAATCTGAAGCCGTCGAACTGGCTTGGATTTTCCCATAAGTCCTCATCGTTCGAAACTTGGTGCAAAGGGAAAGCTATGTGCATTCCCGGCTGCAGCACAGTTCCATCATGAAGAGTGATAGGTTGAACGATTTTACGCCGCATGTTCAGCAGAGATATCGGACTAAGGCGGTGGGACTCTTTGAGAAACGAGTCCAACTTGCGCAGCTTTGGCATGGACGACTTATTGAGGTATGGCAATGGCTCGGTCGCTCTCAGGTCCTGAAGCTCGTCACGAAGAGGCTGTAGGTACTCGGGTCTGGCAGCCAAGTCGAAAATTGCGTTCGTCACTGTCATCGAAGTCGTGTGAATGGCTGCCATACTTGTCGCTAGCTGCATCTGTGCCTGGATGTTGAGGCTATCTCGTTCCTTCTGGTTACTGTTCTTGATGTTCCATGCACACATATTGTGAGGCCCGGTTCCCATTTCAAGCTGCTGTTTGGTGCCAGCGATGATGGGCGCCATCAAGCGTCTCATGGTAGCCAGTGATTTGTGCACTGCTCGAACTTTGGTGTTGAGATACCGTGAGGTCCAACGAAGTAGCCGCGGGTATGCCCGGATTTCAGGTACAGCGAAGAAAACATTGAGTGTGAACTCGATGATGCAATCTAGGTATTCCTGGTTACGGCTCATTGGAAGGCCCACAAAAATCCGGCCAGACACTAATGCGACGATGCGAACAAGCTTACTTTGGATGTCAATTTCGGTCCAGTCTGTGAAAAGAAGATTAGTGAATGATGTTTCAAGGTCCAGTCACCCCGAGTCTTACCGTCGCAAGGTGGGATCAATTCTTGGAAGGAGTACACAACTTCTTCATGTATATCGCCCATCAGGTGACCTGCAAAGCTTTAGCCACATCAAAGACGCTGCAGTGTAGGTTAGCTTACCGAGAGTCTTTGTGAGCTCGTTCTTGACACTGTTCACCACAGTCGAGATCCTTCCGCCCACAGACGTTGTCGTGAAAAGGCTGTGTTCGGACAGGAACCGCTGCACCATTATCAGTTACCGCACTGCTCAACCGCGCTTGCAGACATACCTCATCAATCTCGTCATCTAGATTGAGCATATTGTCGGGTAGAGCCTTTAGTTCTTCCATGAACTTAGTCGGCAAGATGACGGTCTCGCCATGGGCCTCCTTCAAGGTGAAGTATTTACCCTTGTACTGTGGAGAGTGTCAATACAGCTCTCGCGACATGGTAGGTTCTCACTCACATTCTGAAATCCTTCCCTAATTGTCTTATCCAATGCTATGAGATCGATTGGTCCGGTCTCGTCGTAAAGCTGTGGAGCGGGGAATTTTGGCGGTTGTCGAGGTGCAACCAGGGCATATGCGCAAGCGCAGGCGAACAAGGCGATTGCTGTTCCGAGCGCATGGTATTGGTAGCTAAGTGTAAGTACCCGAGAAAGGTGATCCAGCATATCGACGTTGTTCTCGAGATCGCGGATTGGTCGTCGAACGAGGTGTTTATCAACATGAGTGTGAGAATCGAGAGCAGAAGAGGAGAAGATCACGGCCATAGACGCACAGGAGGCTCATGAATCTACTGCAAGAAAGGCTCCTAGCGTCGGAGCGGAAGCATGATGGGAAATGGACGCGCCGGTTTTGTTACAAATGCCTATAAAAGATATGGGCCGAGTTAGTCTTCGGAATTAACCATATACAGTGCTGCTCCCGAAGATACGAGTTCACGGGCTTCATACCCCGAGAGGTGCGCATCCGTGGGCAAGTGGTTTGATAAATACTCTTCAGGTGCAGTGGGATACAAAAATTCAAAGTCCCACGTCACTTTTCGCCAAGGTATTGTTGTTCTCGCTACTTGAAGGAATAAACAAAGGCTCAAATTGAAGTTATTTCTAGTATTTTGTATACCAGCCTTTCGTTTCAATTACTGTTTCTACTCAATTTCCCACCATCATAGCTAATCTATACAAGTTTCCCATATTAATAGCATGCTATGCTTCTTGCGCACCTTTGATTAATCATTCTAAAACCCTTTCATATTAAATTCGATGATGGTCGCCGGGGGATAACTGCTGTCGCACTACTATTATGAAAAAACCCCCCAAAAATATGTATGTAAAAGATAGACCTGTATTTGAAAGCAGCAAGAACAACATTACCGAATTAGATCTACTTCCCTTGCCAAAAAGTGACATAGGACTCAGACTTTTTGCACCCCAGTCTGGGTACTTGGGAAGGTACTTGAGAAGTTGATTGGGTGGGTACGATCGGAGGTATTTCAATAAGCTCGTGAGAGAAAGTACTATCTTTTATCTGCGATATCTAGCCAGTCTTGACGTCTGTCCGCTTCTTCAGCGCCAGCTTGACGTACTTGAGCGGAGCCAACGTGACTGTACCCGCTGCCAGATGATCAATCTCCTGCTTCACTACTTTCGCGTCCATGCCTTCGCCGAGCACAATGCGGTACTTCCCCAAGACTGTCGCAAGAACACTGATGTACTCGGACTGTGTGAATTTCCTTCCGAGGCAAGCGCGAGCGCCGCCAGAAAAGGTCATCAACGTTCCCCTGACCTGTCTCGACTTGTCCTGTGCGACGACCTTCTTGTTAGGGCGCGAATTTGGAGTGACCCCTATGGTACCCATCCATCTATCAGGCTTGAGAGCCCAGGGATCGGGCCAGTACCTTTCGTGGTAGTGAACAGCGTTGACATTGAGGTACACGCGGCACTCAGCCGGCAGGACATGCTGTTGTGGGGAATTGTTTTCCGGGTAGACGGTGATAGTGGTATCCTTCGGGACCATTTTCGTGATAATGCAAACACCAGGGTACAGGCGGAAAACTTCGTACATAAAGCCGTATGTGTACTGGAATTTCTCGAAGTCATCCGTGTAATTAAGCGACGTGCGTCCTTCAGCAGCTGCCTCTGCATAAACCCCATCTACCTCTTGAATAATCCTGTCCTGCAAATCCTGCCTGAGAGCTAAGGTGATGAAGCCGTAAGTCATGGCGTTTGCGGTGGTTTCATACCCCGCGAGCAGGTACAGAAAAAGATTGCCGAGCACCTCGTCTTCGCTGAAGGCTTGCTTTCGACCGGCAGCCTTTGCCTCAAAGGCTGAAGCACGCAGAACGGATGTAAGAAGATTCCCCTTTGCGTCGGCAGATTGGTATTCGCTGTCTTTGCTCAGCTTCGCGGTCTCCGTCCGGATCATCTCACGCATATACTTCTCGAGCTCACCATGCGCGATAGCGATCTCCTTCATTGATGTCATCTTCATAATCCATTTAGGAATGAGAAGAATCTTGACCATGAACGTTGTGACTAGGTGCAGCGCGTGATGCAGGCTCATCTTGTACCCCGGAGGAATTTTGTTGCGAAGATCAGAAACTTCAGTTTCGAAGTCTAATCTTTTGCCGAAGCCCGTGTAGGAAATGACGGCCAGAGTCAATCGGTTGATATCAAGTGAAAGGTCGCGGGTTGTGTTTTCCTGGGACCAGGACTCCATGAGCGCGCGTGCTTGGTCGGAAGCCTCGTTCCAGACCAGATCGTTAGCTCCGCTGCCATCGTTGAAGGGGGGTGCAGTAATGCGAACGTGGAAGTTGTACGCTTTGCCCTCTGTAGTTGCAACATTCGGTCCATACGGCTCAAGGACCTCTGGCATGTGGAGTTAGCGAACGATGTTCCATGAGAATAGCGTTAAACTTACTGTATTTATCTCTTGGTTTTAGAAACTCATTTCGCCTGTTCATGACATCCCAGCACATGTCGGCGTCCGCGGTGTAGCAGATGAGACCCTCAGGCGATACGAGAAGGAAAACATCACCGAGCTCCTCGTGAACCCTGCGTTTCTCTTCCCAAGCCCAGTCGAGAATCGAAAAGCGAATCCATCGCGGCCAGCCCTCGCCTCTAGACAGTCTTGATGTGAACAAGGGACGAATGAGCGGAGTCAAGAGTTTTCCAAGGAACTCAGTCTCAAGTACGGGCACAAGAGTATACGGCAGGCCGGTTTTTTTGGCTTGACCCACGTAGTACGCCAATTTGACAAGCTTGTAAAGTATGAACAATAATAGGGTCGTGCCCACAAACGAGCCCAGAGGCAACTTTGAGGCGTTCATAGTGCGGAGAGTAGACAAGGAAGCGAAGCTCTCTGAGGATGGATCAAGTCAAGCGTGAAAGCTGACAGCTGGTTGGTCTCTCTATAGACCTTCCTTTGTGCAAAAATGATACAGTATGGTGGGAGTTTGCCCGCCGGGGGGAGTTGGTTTCGAGCTTTTCGGTCGCCGGCCCAGGACACCCATTGGAAATGCCCGAACAAGAGCTCTGGATCGGCACCGCAGGAGCCAAAAGGACCATATTGGGACGCAGATCGATTCAGTCCTGGTACGAAGTATTTACTGGTAGGACGGACATTGAACACATCAGGCTGCGTCGCGTTCAAACAGATTACTTCCGAGCTTACATAGCCTAGCCGCACACGTAGTTCGGCCCATACCCTGATTAGGGAAGGGAAGGTTATTGACTAGCGCTGACATCTGACCTAGAACTTTATTCGGAACTTGCCATAGTAGTTCCCTCCCCGCGCATCGATTGTAACTTGGAGATGCAGTCAGCATAGGTGAGAGCTTGGGGTAGGGTACTAGAGCGAAGATCGCCCAGTTCCATCGTTGCTTGCCTAAGCACCGCCCCAAGGATGGAACCTCAAACGAAAGACCCCGACCCCCTACCGCGTCTGGTGCACATAGGCGAAATACAGTTCAACCTGGGCGAAGTGACCACGGGCGGAGTGACGCCGCGAGGAACTTTCATTTTCTGCCCCATAACTGGCGGTGAGTTGAAATATAGAAACACACATTGGACCTGGGGCTGACCCAAAGGCAGGACACTTTACCACCGTCTTTCCATTACCGGACGGATTCGGCATTCACTCAGAGGCAATCGAAGGTCTGAGGGCAGAGGTGCTTCCAGGTGGCGGCGATTATCCGCTGATACATAACAATGAACTTGCGGAACTGAATGTCAGCGTCGTCGCCAAAGGTCTCAACAACGATCATATATTCCGTATCACCTCTTTCGGTATATGCGAATGGAACAAACTCATATTCGATATGATGGGCCAGACAGCCGCCGCACGCTCGACGGAGATGGGGGAAATCAACGCATGGCAGGTTTTTCGTATCAACACTGATAGCCCGGAGTATGCCTGGCTAAACTGGGCATGCATCATTGGGCAGGAGAGACTGATTTACGAAGACAGTCGCATGGCTAAGACTCACATGAAATTGTTCCAGTTTCTGGTAAAATAGCGATATAGAGATACTCAAATTATCATCTCCACGACTTGTATCTAGGCTACTATAATCATGTTCATGTAACTGGTGCTATGTAGATTTCAATGATCGGATGTTAAGCATTGCTCATTAGCATATAGTCCGCCTTTCATATGACCTTGCTCAGACAGATTCTCTCCAAGATTGATAAGACCCTCGACATGTTCTACTGGAACCTCGGTCAGTAGATCCACATTCACGCACTATGGTCCACTCACCTACTCACACGTCTCTTCGCAGGGATCTCTGATTGTTGCACAATATCCAATCAAGAGGCTGCATGTGGAGCTGCACCGAAGCGGTATCATGGCTGCGCGTTTCCAGGCAATAATGCCTGTATATATACGACAAGAGCTGTGCAGAGACAACCATAGAACAGCGAGAGCCATTTATCCTGTCGAGTGAACGGGACGGGAACTTCGAGACTGTAGACGGCACTGCGCTTGGGTGCCATGGTTCTGGAAAGACGATTGCGCTGTGAGGCTGCCTATAAATTTTGTTACCGAGGAGAAAAGGGCTGGCTCTAGGGGCAGTTTAAATGTAGTGTGAGTCTCAATTTCTCTTAATATGAGCGACTTTTCACGAAGCCCAAAGTAGAAATTCGCCAGGTTCCCATACTCGGACGGAGCCGAGCTGTTTCGGGATATGCAGAACACGTGAATCACGACCGCCATCTTGGAGTCCATTTATCTTGGAAGTCTAGGAAGTACCTGTTTGCATCCGCCCATGCCTATGTTGGCTTTACCTCATTCCTCGAAACATCCTGCTTGTTTATATACTACCGCAAGACCTGATCTGCCTGGCAACATAAGTACTGTGATTTGCATCTCGTGTATTGCTGAACAAGATGTACGAGCTACAACAACATCGAAAGTTCAGTGCGTTGGATGAAATGCTTCCAGCATTTTATTACTGCTACTTACTTTGCTTTCCTGTTAGCAGCGATAACAGGGCGAGCACGTCCGAGCTCTTGCAAACCTCCCTATCCTCGCTGGCAGAAGAACGCCCATACCTGACTGGTACAGTCCGAAGGGATATGGAAAGCAGTGTGCGCAAAGGCCATCTCATCCTCGACATACCGAATCCCTTCGAAGACCTTCGTATCGTATTCAACGATCTCACAGGTCCGAAGTCCCAATGGAAGGAGACATATCAGGATCTGAAAGACACCGGCATGCCGCCACACAAGCTGGATGCAAACTTGTTAGCACCCCTGACAGCCGGTATTGGAGAGACACGGAAAGTCATGTCGGTGCAAGCCAACTTTATCCACGGCGGACTATTGATTGCCTTTTGCTTCCACCACAATTTCGTGGACGCATATGGGGCTGGACGCATTATTGCGAGGTTTTCAGACCACTGCAATGGGACTGTTGACCTCAAAAATAGCGCTGATCCAGAGGGGGACGGTACCGATTCGAGGGGCATAGCAGACCTCCTCGACGTTGAACTTTTGAAAAAGCAGTACAAATTCGAGGACCTGGAAAGTGACCCAAACCTCTGGCGACTCAACTGCCTCGAGTTCAGGGGGGTTAACGATTTTCGGTGGCCCGATTTCATCCCTGCCCTTCTTCCAGTGAGGAAGCCACCAGTCATCTCGAGTATGTTCTCGTTCAGTTCAGACGCTCTGGCAGAAATCAAAGCTATGGCACAACCGAATCAAAGCGGAGCGTGGGTGTCGACAAACGACGCGTTGGTGGCCTTTCTGTGGCGACATACCATGAGAGCTCGCTTTCCATCATCGAGAACCGAAAGCGAGCCCCCAAACCGCAAGTCAAACGTGGTGGTGGCACTTGATGGCAGAAAAGACCTTTCTATATCACCAACCTACATCGGTAACTGTCTTTTCCATTGCTTTACGGACCTGCCGATCAATATGGTAGGAAGTGAGAGCACCCATCTTGGTGATATTGCGATCAAAGTCAGACAGACGATCACCGCGGCCCGAAACAAAACGTTGCTGAAAGCTGTCGTCGGGCTGGCTGCCACTCACCCAGATTGCCAGACAATCAAGTACGCCAACGACAATCTGGGGCCTGACCTGTACGTTACCTCTTGGATTGATCTGCCGTTCTATAAGCTTGAATGGGGCCCACTTGGTAAGACCGAGTTCTTCCGCATTCCAGACCGACAATTTGAAAGTCTCTGTTGCATTTTGCCGCCAAAGGATGGGGTTGTCCAGTTGATTACATCGATGGAGGAAGATCATAGCAAACGGCTTCGAAGTGACGCAGAGTTTACTAGATTTGCAACTTATAGATAGCCCCATAGATAGCCAATCCGCAGCATGGTGTCAGGTTCAATGCTTCCCTTTGTAAGTCGGTTATTGGCTGGTCAGTCGATTGAAGCATCTATTCACACGAATATTGGACCAAAATGAATAACCAATTTGCTTTGAGTATGAAATGTTCCCAAATGTATTGACCTCGCTATGCCTTGAGTGTGCTACCGTCCACAGAGTGAAATCTGACAGTCAGGGCAGGCTTGTCCCACATGACATGGACCTTGCTTTGTCCTTCCCAATCCAGAGACTGATCCATCAGCTCCATATCATATTTCCAGCAAAGTTTCGAAAGGATCAAATTTAGCTCCATAAGTGCAAAACTGTATAGACTGTCAGACGCTTTTTGTAAACAGCTACGGAGCTGTGCCACTTACTTTCGCCCTAGGCATCCTCGAGGACCCAAGCTGAAAGGCTGAGATGATTCTTTGATATCGGTCGACTTCTCATTCAGCCATCTGTTTGGATCGAATTTCATCGGGTCTTTGAACATTTGGGGATTGTGCGTCACAGTCCATGCGCTGGTATAGATCTCAGTCTGGCTTGCAGGTTAGATAGAATGCTCATGATTGAGAAGAAACTAGTAAACACGTACACCTTCCGGTATCCATTCCCCATCGATTGCGAGACCTGGTGATAGTCTCGGGAAACCCTGTGAGCCAGGGGGATAGATTCTGAGCCCTTCATTGATAACCGCCTGTAGATATGGCAACTGCTGTGCAGAGGTCGCATTGATTGACTCATAGGTAGGGAAGCGGTTTCTGATTTCTTCACGCATAGCTTTGTATACCTCCGGAGTCTTGAGTAGGTAGTACACTGTAGCTGCCAAGAAAGTTGCGACAGTTTCGCCTCCAGCAATGATGAGAGTGGATGCATGAGCTGTCATCTCCTCGCGATCAACTTCGCCGGACTCAACCTTTGAAATTAGATTGGACATGAAGTCTTTCCGAAGATTCTTGTTGGTCATGCGCTCGGCAACTTTGTCTCTGGTGAATTGAGAGTGCTTATTTCGCACCGCAGTCAGAACAGGTGCCAAGAATCTTGCCAATGTCAGTGCAAATGGCAGGCGCCGCAAATTGTCCGCAACGGTGATAAAGTAAAGATGTTTGAGAATCATTTCCTGCCAGTAGTGAGGCTCACCTCGGATGATGCACTCGAAAGATTGCCCAAAGGCCATCTCTCCGAGTATGTCAAACGCTACCATTTCTGTCCACTTAGTCATGTCCAGGCCTTTTGTCTCGGAACCACCGTCGTTGCCAAGTCGCGTGATGAAAGCATCAACGGTCTGAGAGACAAGTGGCTCCTGCTCCAAAAGGGCTTTCGTCGAAAATGCAGCAGACAGAAATGACTTCATCTGCCGGTGCTTCTCTGGATCTCTCTCACTTCCAATGCAGAGCGAGTTAAACCCCGACCCGTACATATCGTAGAATTCACTTTTTGTTGGAATCATGCCCCCTGGCCGGTGGCCGTATATTGACTTCCATGAGGACACAGAGGCAAATGAGAGCTCGTTTGGAGCTACTCTAAGAACGGGGCCTTTTTAAAAAAGTCAGCAGCTGCTTGCGTCCGGGCACGGATGAACTTACCGTATTTCTGGTGCCCAGCCTCTATGGATCGGTGGATTCTGCCTTTCAAGGTCATTCGCATTCGCCATAGCTAATTGAGTCAGCGAGAGGAATAGATTGAGTAAATTGATATCTTACCAAGGTCGACCTAGCCAATAGTGGTCCCGGAAACCTGGCCAGGGGATGGAACCAGAGGTTAAAGACTATGAGGCCAATAAAATAGCAGAGGGCCTAGCCACTTGTTAGCAAAATAAAGGGCCTGGTATGGTATGAAGGATCGAGGTGTATGGCCATTGGCCAATGCCAATGAGCTTACTGCTGCAGAGATGACGAATGGGAGCACGTAAATGCTGTGGGGGGGTTGATCATAGACGAATAAGAGACCGGGGATTGGAGATATGGTCATGTTGGAGTAGGAAAATTTGAGTTGCATGAATATGCTGCGGTAAGAATTCACTTCCAGATAGCTCGAGTTACTCTTCCGAGGAAATCGTGTGGCCACTTATAAACATAAGCGGCTTCACCTGTTCGGACTCATGCTGTTTTGGGTCACATTTGCCTTTAAAGGTCTATATCCGACATGGCGAAAAGCTGACACAACGACGCCCTGCTAACTAGATCGCCGATCTCTCTTCGGCGTAAGCACTACTCCCATCCCAAGGGCACCTCCCGTTCTGGGTAAATTATCCCTGACCAATCACAGCATGGAACGGCACCTTCGATTCCTCACACATCTATCCATGTACGCCTTTTGGTCATAGCGTTAGCGGCTCTTCCTGGATTTTGTGGATGTTTGGTTTTGTTTTTTTTGGGTTATGTCGGTCGAAGGGCCGGCCTGGAGGCAATGCAGGCGTGCTCCGTGTTATTATGTCGTATTTTCGCCCGTCGCGCAGCTGACTCGCATATGCAGGAGTGGCGGGCTGTGCGGACCGGTGCGAACGTGGCGTCCCACGAGTGGTGTAGAACCTGCTTGGCAGGGTAGAGCATCTGCTTACTAGATAACGATAATAGAGCGAAGAGGTTAGCGTATCTGGCTTGACTGTAGAGCGTGTTACTACAAAGCTGATTATTGGGAGGAGGAGATGAAGAAGAAGAGGAGGAGATGAAGAAGAAGATGATGATAATGAAGAAGAAGAAGAGAAGTCCTTTCTTCTTCTTCTCTTCCTCCTAAGAAGGGGAGGAGGGTCTCTTAATACCGCCCTAAGTATCTTGATTTACTAAATGTGACTTATGCATCTCCCGCCCGAATAGCTTCATAATCCCTGCCCTACGTGAGACGCCACAATAACAAGTACATGTAAGCATAACAGTCTACATACTATAATTCCTGGAAATTTGAGATAATAAAGTTCAAGGCAAGTGCTCGGGTCTCTACTTATTCACAACCCTCTGAGAACTGAGATCACTTGCTAGGCCAGAATGTTTGGAACTCTCAGGATCGGGTCCGAGAAGAACTCTGTGGAATTTATCGAGCATGCCAAAGGAGAGGCTGCAAGCCGATTAGGAGGATACGTCTTCTCACATTCCGCTTGTGAAAGCTGCCGATTAAAAAAGGTAAAGCTTTCCCGTACTAGCATCGGTTGGTTTGCTAATATAACTCCTCTGGTCAACTAGCTACGTTGCAGTGGACACAAGTCTGGCTGCGATCGCTGCAGAAGCCAGGCGATGAAATGCTCCTACCAAATAGGAGCCCCGAGCAACAGCTCGCGACCGAAGTCAAGATCACATTTCCAACCCAACTTCTCTAACATGAGTGGGACAGCTGGCACCAGCAAGGCTCCGAGCCCTCTGGGCAATGATGGCGTCGATCGGGAGATCGGCGGGTGGGAAATGGCTGAGACCGATCCGACTGGCAGTGTAGTGACCACTACCGCCCAATTCTTGAATAGCGTGAACCAGGGCGAACACTCGAATCTTAACGACTTGCGTCAGGGACAAAGATTCGGCGGTGAGCTTGACTATTCCGAAAACGAACTTAATGATATTTTCAGCAACATCGCCTATCTCCAGCCAGACGATATGGAGACGAACGTTTTCGTGGGTGCCGCAAATCGAGCTGTCCTCGATGCCGAGGCCTTTGACTCGATGACCGAGCCAGCAAATTCTATGTCGGACGACATAGGCGACATCGCGGCATCTCAACCTCCATCTGCCGATGTTCAGTCGGCGTTCATGGCTTTCGATCATGCACGCACCTCGTCTTCCTCGTCGTCACACCAAAGCTCCGATACCTCGGCTAGTGACGCTTTTATCGCAACAGATTTCGACGGAGCCAGATCGAGGACAGATCCATCAACTTGCCAATGTCGAGGATCCATCCTCCGCGTTCTTGCTGAGATTGAGTCGAACATTTTATCCGCCAGTCCCAGCAACATGTACGCTATTTTGTCATATCTCCGTCAGACAACGGCAGCAAGCAACGACATCTTGACATGTCGCATCTGCAACTGCAGATTAAAGTTCTTCGGACTTCTTGGGATCATTGGCGAGAAGATCACCAGCCTCTCGGGGGCAATAATCACCGCATTCGTCTGCCGCCTGAAGGAGCAAAATGAGTCTGTGGATTTCGGCAAGTCCGATTCTCCTGACAAGCGTCTTGATCCCAACAGGGCAATACAATTGTGCGAGTTTCAAGTCCAGTCTCTGCAGGAATTCAAAGTCGTATCAGCTGCCGTTATTAAGTTGCAGTTGAAGTATTCTGTGGCCTTTGTCTCTCGCACTCGTGAGCTTGCGATATCCATGAATCATCTTGCACAAGCTCAGAGCCTTGAGAAGCTTGAAAGCAGGCTGAACGAGCTCGTCATCAAGATGCAACGAATGGTCTCGGAAGTAGACTCAGACCTTTGTGATATATGAGGCATCTGGGGTTGTTGCAGGAGCCTGGGAGGATTGCAGGCTACAGTGGATGCCTACAGAGCTTACGGAGCCTTCAGGGCCTATATGTACCGAATACCTGTCCATTGTAGAGCTTAGATAGTCAGTCAATATTTGCAGTTAATTCAGTCAGTCATTGCGAGCATAAAGAGATCACTGGTCATGCCATCAGATACCTGAAACACAGATAATGAGTGAAACTGACGGACAACTGGGTTTACAAAGATAACACGTATCCAGAAATTATGAAAAGAGTCCGTTACTTCTGTATCTGCGAGGCACCTTTCCGTATCCGGTATCTCCCCGACTTCTTTACGACCGACACGCTCGAGAAGGGCATGTTCCGACATAAGGCTGCTCGAGGCCATCAATTTTATTTGTCATCCTCATGGGGCCTAGTAAAATAACCTGGAGTGCAGCGCCTGGTAAAAGCAGTCGACCACAACCCAAAGATTTCCCCAATTCCAGAGTACCTACCTAGCACTTCTTTGCATACCCGCAGTCATGGATGCACTCGAGGCTCCAGAGCTGCTTTTACTACCCCACCTGTCGGCCTTGACACCCAAGACTGGTTTTCTGATTGGAGTGAGTACCCAGCATTCGTCACTCGCAAGGCAGTTCTGAAATAAAATACAGCTTGCTCTCGCTATCACCGCATACTGCTACTATAGACACACACAACATCCACTGTACAAGTTCCCAGGACCCCGATCGGCCGCATGGAGCAACGTGCTCTACTGTTACTACTACATCCAAGGTCGACAGCCCTTCAAGTTGCTGGAGCTGCACAACCAATATGGAAGCGTTGTTCGGACGGCTCCAAACGATCTCTCCTTTAACACGGCAGGTGCATTTCGAGATATTTACAACTTCCGGCCGGGCCATGAGACTTTTATCAAGAGCGACTGGTATGATGGGGGCGTCTTTGCAGACAAAGCTCATTCGATCGTGAGCGAGCGTGAACCTGGCAAGCATGGGCACATGCGGAAGTATCTCAGCCACGCCTTTTCGGACAAATCGTTGAAAGCGCAAGAGCCACTCATCGATGAAGTTGTAAACGAGTTTGTCTCTCAGCTTGACGTGTTTGGTTCGAAAAAGGGTGGCATCGACATTGTTGTCTGGTTTAATTTAGCCACTTTTGATATCATTGGCTCCTTGGCATTTGGAGAGTCTTTTGGGGGCGTCAAATCAGGTCAGTGCTCCAGACCTCATACATCGCATCTATACTCATCATTCACATAGGTGAGGTTCATCCTTGGATTTCGCGAATCATCACGGCGATCGGGCAGAGTGCTTTGGCAGATGCCTTCAAGCGGTTTCCAAAATTCGCGACCACATTCAAGTGGTTATTCCCGAAAGCAATTGAGAAGATGCTGGAAGACACGGCAGGCCATGAGAACTATACCATCTCACTGATTGATAAGTATGCCTCCGAAGCTTCACAGGGCTATCCGTGGAACTCTAACACCTTGATTTAGGAGGTTGAGCAATCCATCTACTCGCCCAGACTTCTTGACGCGCATGCTGGAAAACAGACCAGAAGATTTGACAGATGTCCAGATCGCGGCCCATGCGTCTGACTTTGTCATTGCTGGCAGCGAAACGACAGCGACAACATTGAGCTGCATCGTATACTATTTGACCAAGAACCCATCAGTATATCAGAAAGCCACGCAGGAAATCCGAGACAGGTTCGAAAGATTCGAGGACATCAACTCAACAGCAGCTTCGCAACTCAAATATCTTCATGCATTAGCTCTCGAGGCGATGCGAATCTATCCACCTTTGCCGCTGGCCTTACCGCGAGTCGTTCCCAAAGGCGGAGATACCATCGACGGTCACTTCGTTGCAGAAGGGGTAACTACAGATCCATATCCATTTGGTTTGAACCTTCCTAATTCAAAACAGACAATCGTTTCCGTCAATCCTGTAGCAGCTTGTCTATCTACAAAGAACTTTGATGCGCCACTGGAGTTCAGACCAGAGCGGTGGCTCGAAAGTGATTTGGTCGATGATCACGAGGCCTCGCAGCCTTTCTCGATGGGACCTCGAGCATGCCTCGGAAGGAATTTGGCATGGATCGAGTTGAGTCTGTTACTCTCGAAAATGCTTTGGGTCTACGATATCGAGCTTTTAAACACAGAAGTCGATTGGTTAAGGGATTCCAGAATGGCGATGCTGTGGAAGAAGCCAAAGCTAATGATCAAGACTACTCGTAGGCGAGTTGCTTCATGATAATAACAAGATTTTCGGACGCCCTAGGACGTCCTCTAATATCTGAACGATGCTATACTTAGACATGAATATATTAATGTAATAGATAGACATGCTACAATTGGCTTACAATTCTTAGCTGACTAGCGGGAAGGCTATATTAGGCCTTGACAACTTACAACCAAGGGAAGTTCTGTAGTATTCAAACCCATTCTCTGGATCTGCGGTGAATCTAAGGGAAGGTCAGCCTTATATATATATGGGAAGGAATTGCCACCTCAGATGCAGCTAAACTCACTTTAGCCAAAGATTTACAGTTCCACAATGTGAAGTGTTGGTCTGAGGAAGTCTTTTATCTTTCTCCCGAATTGAGTCCTCCTGTCTGTGGGCTCTAGGAATATAGCTATTCCTTTCCCGCTGTAAACGGCGTTTCGTCTCGGCAATCTTATTGCGCTGAGCAAAAAAGTCCTTTCTGCCTATAATTACGTGTGGCGCGGGTGGAGGCAGGGAATTTATTTAAAGTAAAAGAACGCGATATTAGATCAAGATACCAACTAAAAGGTTCTTGAATAGAAGGTATGTAAATGATTATATGCTATTGTTAGCACACATTCTACTTTTATATCTGAGATTTTGAGCTCAAGCCGCTCTTAATTAGAAGACAAAAGGAGATAACATCCTGAAACGGATGGAGTTCTCCGCTATTTCCTACGCCCCTCCGTCATAATGTATTTTCTTGATGAGATAAAGTGCTCCGGAAAATGAGGGCAGCAGCAATGCTATCAGCGAACTAACTAACCATCACAGTATAAACGACCCTGTGGGGGCTAATCCCTTCTGGGTATAGTCTGAGGTGGGCATCAGTGTTGCTCACTGATTGGACACTGAGCACTCACTGAGCATCAGTCATCCTGCACGTGACTGATCTGAGCCCGTGCTGACATCTACCCAGTGAGCCTGAGCCTGAGCCCTCACAAAAGCGGCAGCTCAAATAGGAAAGCCCCACCCGCCAGGGTATTTCCGGTACGTATAGCTACATATATGAATTTTTGTTCAGTCGCTTCACATTCTGTGGTCAGGAAGCGGCCTCTTCTGTCATTGGTCATACCGGGTGTCTATCCCAGTCACTCACCTACTTTAAAACATGCGGATAGGAATGGGTACTGTAATTTAAGCTGGATGTATCGTGTTGGCTTAGAATTGTCATTTTCATTCTGTTTTGAATGGCCATATTCCCTGAGAAGTCCGTGGCACTAGGTATATAATTACGAACCTTTGGGAAAGTCCGTCAAGGAACTAATCGCCCGCCATTCCTCAATCGCTGCCAAGGTCTCAGATGCGGCCTTGCTGATCTCATCGCAGGCATCACTCCCCAAGGGCAAGAGAGCAGGCAGGGGTTTCCCCTCGGCGATTCCCGTGGAGGTAATGACGTCGTAGATAACTTGCGTGCCCTTCACGGGGTTACCCAGCTGGGCGCCGTTAAAGGCGGCGAAGTTAGAGTCGGTGGTATTGTTTACCTCCTGGTAGGCCGATAGACGCGAGGACTTTGCGGTCTGAGAAATATTGGCTGACGGGTTCAGTAACTCGGTGCGGAAGAAGCCCGGTTCGACTAAACAGTGGCGGATACCGAACGGGGAGATCTCACCCGCCAGCCCAAGTCCAATCCAGCGCAGAGCGGCTTTGGAAGCGTTGTAGAGATTGCAGCCAGGCATAGGGTACCAGGCGGCCATAGAGCCGATGGTAACCAAAGTGCCCGACCCCTTAGCGCGGAGGTGTGGCAGTAGGGCGCGGTAAAGGTTCAGAGGGCCAAAGGTATTAGCCTGGAACTGACGCTGAGTCTCTTCTGCGGTAGCCTCTTCAAGCATGCCTGTCTGCACGTAGGCGGCATTGTTGACAACAATGTCGACCGTTCCATAGACAGCTAGGATAGTCTCGACTGCTGCTTGGATCTGGGCTGGGGGCTCGTTGTGGTCTAGGTAGACAGCCTTGATATTAGGGTTAGTTGACTCGAGCTCGGCTAATTTATGCGGAGTCCGTGTGGCGGCCAACACGCGATCCCCGTGCTTAGCGGCCACTTTAGCCAACTCTTGGCCAAGTCCGGACGAGGTGCCGGTGATGAGCCAGATCCGGGAGGTAGTAGCCATGATGGATGGGTGGATGATTTGTTCTCAAAGGATGGTATTGAGGTCAGGAGGGGTGTGCTGCTGGGAGGAGGGGAGGAGGACATCTATATATCATATGGGCCGATGCCATCCGGTGCGAGTACTAAACTCCGCTAACTGCGAAACAAAGATACTGGCTCCATCCCAAACTCCGGTAACTACGAAGCAAAAAGAGACTTCTTACATCCTAGTCAAGTTAACGTAGCCTGATAGGTAAAACGATGAAACGAAGTGGGTTCGACAAAAGTCCATCAGTCGATGCTAAGAATAAGAGGAAGGTCGTCCGAGACTATTGCACTAACCGGAATCCTGCTGGCCCCATAGTAGTAGTTATGGCAACTGGGCCAAGACCTACATATTATACAGTGTTTGTTGTATAGTATCGGAGCGAAGGATGCATGTCTATCGGCTAGTATTCAAACCGGCAAACTAGATTAGACAGAATCAACGTGAGAGCTCATCTTAAAGCCAGGCAGTGCTGTTTCCCGGATACCGTGAGGACAGTCACCGAAAAACAAAATTATGATTTCTACTGTTTGGTTAGAGCGTCCTGCTCCTCTGCTTAGGAACAGTAAGCGCAGGTACGTTGATGAGCGCCCATCCGTAGATCGACTCTAGTAACCAAGTGGCCCGAGCGCCAGCGGGGAGAGCTCCGAACCACAACGTCCTTCCACCCGTCTCAATTAATGGCGAGCCGAGATGGCGCTGACATCAGTAAGATGCCGAAATTTCCTACTGATGGATCACAGCTGACAGAAGCAACAGTGGAAAGCATTCAACTTCATCGACGTGTCGCCGGTGAAGCTACCAGAGGACAGCTCCTCAATCTTCGATGTAAGGCCTCGACCTTCCTCTGCTCTAGCCCACGGCGTATCTAACTGTCACCCCTAGAGCGACCTCTCGAGTATCTGCACTGGCTCCGCGAACCTCTTTGTTGGCACTACCGATGGATTTGTCCACATCCTCTCCTCGGCCTTCCGCGTCGTGCGATCGTTCAAGGCTCACGATACCGGTTCCATTACGCACATGCGACAGATAAACGATACCGCTCTGCTAGTGACCGTCGCGGAGGATCTTTCCAACGAGCCGGTTCTGAAGGTCTGGGCTCTAGATACGGAGAAAAAAGATGGAGGCCCGCGGTGTCTGTCAACGGTCTCTGTACAAAATGCCAGGAGGCAGTTCCCGGTATGTTTGGCACCCGAAGCGGGAATAAAATGGTCAATACTTACTTATAATGGTATAGATATCGGCTTTCGCAGCCGTCGACGACCTCTCACAGGTAGCAGTGGGTTTCGCGAACGGATCGGTGACGATCATCCGAGGCGATTTAATCCACGACCGAGGCGCGCGACAACGGATCGTATTCGAATCCGAGGAACCGATTACCGGACTCGAAACCCAAATCGGCGCCGTCACAACCCTTTACATTTCAACAACGAGTCGCATCTTGACATTGGTCATCGCCGGGCGAGGGCAGGGCCAGCCTGCGCGCGTTTTGGAAGATACGGGCTGTGGCTTGGGCTGCATGACTCTGGATAAAGAGGGCGGAGATGTTCTAATTGCCCGGGATGAGGCGATCTTTACCTACGGTCCGCGAGGTCGTGGTGCGAGCTATGCGTTCGAGGGCCCGAAGACATCTATTGATGCTTTTCGTGACTATGTGGCGCTCGTCTGTCCGCCCAAGGCTGGGACTAGCAAGTCCGATCCGCTAAGGAAATACGGTGCTAGTCCCGCCGAGGAAATTTTTGGCACGACTACGTTCACGCTTCTCGATACCGACCTCAAGTTCATCGCGCATAGCGAAGCGCTGGCGTCACCTATGAAACGTATTTTCATGGAATGGGGTGACTTGTTTCTTCTTACGACAGATGGAAAGGTATGTGAATGATATGATCTTGTGTTCGTCTTTCTTCTAACCGGTTCTAGATCTTCCGTTATAGGGAGAAGACCCTCCAGCAAAAGCTCGAAATCTTATATGAGCGCAATCTCTACATCCTTGCTATTAATCTTGCGCAAAAGATTGGGATTGATCCGCTCCAACAGAATGCTATCTACCGCAAGTATGGTGACTTTTTGTACCAGCGGGGCGACTATGATACCGCTATGCAGCAGTATCTCCGGGCCATTGATAATACAGAACCTTCTCAGGTCATTCGCAAAGTCAGTGAGAATTGGGATTCGGCATTGTTCTCGTACTAACTTTGATGTAGTACCTGGACACTCAACGTATTCACAACTTGATCGAGTATCTTGAAGAGCTACACGACCATGGCCGTGCCACGGTTGATCACACAACGCTTCTTTTGAACTGCTACGCAAAACTCAAAGACACAAGCAAGCTAGACTCGTTTATCAAAGCTCCTGGTGAGCTGAAGTTTGATCTTGAAACTGCCATTGCAATGTGCCGTCAAGGCGGATACTATGAGCAAGCAGCCTACCTTGCAACAAAACATGGCGAGAACGACATGGTCGTTGATATTCTAATCGAAGATTCTAAGAAGTACGCTGAGGCAGTGGAATACATTTGGCGGTTGGATGCTGAAGTGGTATGTCTAAACTGCGTCTGCGTCATCGGGGGAAACAAGCTAATATGTGCTAGGCCTATCACAATTTGATGAAGTACGCTCGAGTATTGCTAACACATTGCCCCGAGCGGACAGCGGAGCTGTTCAAGGTTTACTATTCTGGCCAGTACCGACCACGCACGGAGGTAGAACAGACACCAGAGCCCCAAGAACAGACGACCAGCACAGTGCAAAGTCTTGCTGCCCTTCTTCCTTTGCGGTATATGACTGTTGGCACACAACCTACGCCTGAAATCCCTGAGCCAGCGGCAAATGAAGACAAGGTTGAGAATTCGACGCCAGATTATCACATTCCCAAGCCCCGGACAGCCTTCTCTGCATTTGTGGATCATCCTAAAGAGTTCATCGATTTCCTCGAGACCTTGGTGCAGCAGCCGGACTTGAAGAAGGACGCCAAGGTTGATCTTTTCACAACACTGTTTGAGATGTACCTGGACACAGCAAAGGGGAAAAAGGATGCAGGCGAAAGACAGGAATGGGAGACAAAAGCCAAGAAACTAATTGAAGGGAAAGACGTAAGCTGTCCCATCGCCCATTCATCGCCTTATATCTAACCCACCAGATTCCGATCTCCACATCCAACGTGCTTCTCCTCTCCGATCTGTCAAATTTCAAGGAAGGATCTACCCTTGTTCGCGAGCAAGAAGGTCTCCGCCTGGACATTTTCCGTTCCTTCACTTCAGCAAAGGATACACAGGGCGCCATCAAAGCGCTACGCCGGTACGGGCCCGACGAGCCCCAACTCTACGTCGACGCATTGACATACTTCGCCTCGAGCCCGAAGATCCTCGAAGAAGCAGGCGACGAGCTAGACACAGTCCTGCAGCGCATCAACCAAGACGGCCTCCTCTCACCATTGCAAGTGATCCAAGCGCTCAGCAACAACGCAGTAGTAACAATGGGCCGCGTGAAGAAGTACCTCAGCGACAACATCGACCGCGAACGCAAAGAAATCACCACCGTAAGCTCCTTCAACAAGCCCCTCCTGTTCAGCGAATAGTAAAGCTAACCCCCATCCTTTCTAGAACCGCCGGCTCATCACAAGCTATAAATCCGAAACCGCAACCAAACAGCAAGAACTAGACAACCTAGCCACCCAGCCAGTAGTCTTCCAATCTCGCCGTTGCCAATCCTGCGGCGGAACCCTCGACCTCCCAACAGTCCACTTTCTCTGCAGACACTCCTTCCATGAGCGCTGTCTGAACAACCTCGACGACAATGCGCAGTGTCCCGTCTGCGCACCGAAGAATGCGACTCTGCGCGCGATCCGCCAACGGCAGGTTGATTCCGCGGACCAGCATGATTTGTTCAAGGGAGAGCTGTCTCGCTCACGGGATCGATTCGGGGTTGTTAGTGAGTTCTTCGGGAGGGGTATAATGAGGCCGCAGAGTACTATGGAGTAGGATGGGTGGAATGGATTGCACTTTGTTTAGATACGCTTGTTCTCATTCTTTTCATGGGCGTGTTTTATATGGAGCTGGTTTTCTTCTTTTGATACCTCGATCTTTGTCAATTAGATCAAGTTGTTTCTCCTACTGGTGAAGGTAGTAGATAGTAGATAGAAATAAGCAGTTCTTTACACATGCAGGTCTTTACGATAGAACAACTACTTGGAACAAAGTACTTTGGAGGCAAAAACTAGGACTATGGATTATGTCCATGTAAAGAAATCATTGTTCAGTTAAACTCGCTTCGCTCTAGCAAGTAACAACAGCGAGCTAAGGACAAAAAAGGAATTATATGAACTCGATAAAATGAGCAAGTCGATCACGGTGATCAAGCAAGGTCATTAGATGCAAAGAGCAATTAATATGCACAGCTGATGAGATAAGAAAATACATGAATACTGTCGAGGCAAAAGGGTCGAAGCAATAGAAACTGGGTAGATACATTTCCATTATTCACTCGAGTCGGCAGGAGTGCGACAATGTCTCCTTTGTATGGCCGAGGACGACATATTAGAGACGAAGGATAGGATAGACAAGCCAAGTCGAGATTCTTCTATCCGATTGACTCGTTAGAGATCGATCTCGCTTAAAGCTCGCGTCCCTTCTCGCCTCCCCATGAAATACGCGGGATGTGTCGGGAGGTAGATTGGGAGTTGGAGCCGGATCCAGATCCAGATCCAGATCCAGAGGACTGTTCAGATGGCTTGTGTGTTTCGCCGGGCTGGTTGTTTTTCGTATTCTGGCTTGATTGGCCAGTCTCGTTCTCTTCAATGTCTGAGTCTTCCTCCACGATGGCATTATCATCCGAATCTGAGCCATCGCCATTCTCGGACTCCTCACCTTCCACACCTAAGGCGTCCAGACGGCGACGACGCTCGGCTGGGGTCTCGCCTGTGTCGTCGTCAGCCTGGCGTGGGGGCGCAGTGAGACCAGCGGCTTGACGGAGACGCGAAGGTGGGATACGCTCTGTACCATCGTCGTCGGAATCTCGGCGAGGCCGGTCCCGTATACGGGGTGGCGCAGGGCTGAAGTTGTTGCGGCGTTCTTGGGCGGCGGAGGTACCAACGCCACGCGAGAACCTCGCCAGTGAGGCGGCCACGTTAGGGGAACCATGATGGTTGCTAGACTCGTCGTCACTAACGTCGCTATCGCTGATGGACTCGGAATCCATAGCTTCAGTGTCTTCTTCGGGGATGGTGTTAGCGGCAGGGTGGCGCTCTTGCTTTCCCTGGGCCTTGGCTTCTTCCTTGGCTTCGTGCTGGGCCCTTTCTTGAACTGGTGCTGGTGCGTCGGTTTGCTGAACCAGATCCCGGCGGGCCTTGGCGTCAAGACCCTTCATCTGCTCGAAGAATTCCTGCTTGTTCATACGTCGGCCCTTGTGGCCAATGCCTTGAGCGTCGACTTGCGGATCCTGGGCCAACGTGAATCGAATGCCGTCGTCGGCGGTCCAATCGTTATCTTTATTCTTTTCGTGGCCAGCCTGGGAAGATTCGCCTTCTTCTTCCATGCCGAGCCAGGTCCCCATGCGGTTCAAACCACGTCGAACAGGAGCCTCTCCAGGGACGGTGGTCTCCTTCTGGGTCTTCTCACCCTTTTCACCCTTCTTGCCGCCAGGAAGGGTATATTTCTTGATCACCTCACCGTCCTCATCCTCAACAATAATAGTGTTGCCGAATTGGTATGCATGAGCTGAACGAGGTTTGGGCTTTTCTTTCTTTTCGGTCTCTGCCTTCTCCTCTTCCGTGGCTCGACCCTTTCCAAGTCCGGTCCACTTGGTCCACTTCTTGAGAGCGTTTCCATATGACCTACCAACCTTCTCCTCGAGCTCATCTCCCTCGGTCTTTGTGTGGGGTTGACTCTCCGATGCTGCAAATTCTCCTGATTTATCTTTTTCCAGACGCTTGCGTTGCCCTTCAATGTGGCCAGTCTTCTCTTCCGGAGACATATGAGAGGTATCCTCAGTCGAGAGAACATTGCCCTCTTCATCCTCAATGACCATGTCGTGGCCCTCTTGATAAACCTCTATCTCCGGTTCACGACCGAATCGATCGCGCTCGGCACGAGGTGGAGAAGCTCCACGCTCAGCCTGATCGCGCTGATCAAGTTCTTGCTTTTCTTCGGCCTCGGCCTCGGCTTCGTCCTCGGCGCGCCGAGAAGCGGGCATAATAGCAGACTGGCTAATTGGGCCTCCGCCACCAGCGGCACGCTTACGGCGACGTCTCCGCAGGGGCTTGCGACGAGAAGACTCGAGGTTTTGTGACTCACTATCTCCCTCTTCGTCACGTTGCCGGCGGAGGAAGTTGCCAGGCATGCCGATGGGGGGCAAGGTACCGGGAGGATACTCAGGAAGCTTTTCGTCCGATGAGGCATCCGTATCATCCGTCTTACGGAAGGACATGGAGCCCTTGGCGATTGACTGCACACGAGGAAGACGGTTCATCCATGAAGGTCCCTCCTCGTTGGCCTGTGTGTAGGATAGGGTGATAGTCAAGGTGTTGATACGTTTACCCAGAGTGAAAACTGCAATAGACGAACCATGTACTAGAATAGATGTGATGACCATGAATGTAGTGATGGGCCAGATAAGCCTGACAACATAGTAATTGCTGGTTCCTGGTATTGGGAGCTCGTCTTCAGGCGATGGTTGTGTGTTGTCGTTCTCCAGCTCCGCTCGAGCGAGGATGGCGGCGAAAATGGCACCGACACCGATAGGACCGAAATGCCCTGCGAATAAAGCTTCTCGCCAAGTTTTGACGTCCGGTATTATTGGCTTGAGCATTAGCATAATGGGAATACGTCGGAAGAAGAGGACCAATATCGCAATCACCACCAGCCGCCAAGGAGTAAGGCCGAGCTCGGGGGAGTTGTAGTCCTCCCAGGGAATGATGGATCCGAAATAGACAAAGTATGCCAAGTTGAGCAGAAGATCGATAACGTTGGAGACATGAGATTCCTCTGTCTTCTCCGTAAACCAACCATCGTTACTGAATCCAACACCACAAGCGAATCCGATCAGCAGGTCGTCCATGCCCAGCAAAGAACCAGAACCAGCACAGAATACAGCCAACACAAAGTAGAATACTAGGAAACTCTCACGATCGATCAATCCCTTGCGCTCAGCCAACTTGATCGCATGGCGAGCAAAATAGCCGATGGCGAAGCCGAAAATAGCACCCAAGATACACTCGTACAAAACGGTGATACAGAACCAGTTTAGCCACACCTCGCCGACTTGAGGACGGAAGTGATAGATGTAGAATGATAGGTAGATGAATGGGAAAGCCATACCATCGTTACACCCGGACTCCGCAGATAACAAGTCACGCAAATGCTTGGGGACACGCTTGGCGAACTTTCCCTTACCAACGACTGACGACGCCAAGACAGGATCGGTAGCCGTGACACAGGCAGCACACACCAGAGACTCCAGCCAGTTCAGGGGAGGCACCATCCACCAGATAAACAGACTGGTCATTAACCAACCCCACGTCATGACGGGGATCAGCAGCAAGGTAACCGACTTCCAATGGCGTTCCATGTAGGCCTTTGGCAACTCAACGCCGACGGCGAAACATTGCACGACCAGGACAATTCGCGAGCACTCGAGAGTGATTTTGTCGACGTTTCCCCATTTATGCGGATTGAACAAATCGGCCGCATGGGGGCCGAAAATGATACCACAGAGCGTGGCTACGGTGGCTTCACCGATGTACAGCTTCTCCTTGACGAACAAGGAGCACAGCATGAACAGGGCTGTGAAACCTCCCAGGATCATGTAAGCCACATGCGGCTTATCGATGTCCAGATGATCCCACGCCATGGTGAGGATGTCGGTGATTGAACACCAATTGTATTATATCCGGGAACTTTTGTAATATTCCGTCCGCTTCGTACCGCAACGAGCAAATTTACCGGATGATTTCCGCCCTCGAACTTCGTTGGTCTGCGTAGCTCTTCATGCCTTGGTGAATCAGTGATTGAACAGCCAAGTTGCCGAGCCTTGTAGGGCTGAATGAGGTAAGGCGATTCAAGAGCACGTCCGATCGGTTTCGCGGTGGGTGACGGTGCAGATTGTGGGGGGTGCAGACTGTGGCCAAGATCGTGGGGATGTCACTGGGGCGGAGGCGAAGCTAGATAAGAGGTTGGAGAAAAAAAGAACCCAGGCTTGGCCTCAGGGAAGTCAGGCACAGGAAGGGGGAGAAGAGGAGAGAGAAAAGATTTTTCTAGACAGGAGCGAAATTCGGTAAGAGTCTTGGGAGCTCTTGGCCAAGCAGAAGAAAGCGAGTCAACGCGCGCTTCGGGAGATTTGCCCAGAAGGAAGTATTCTTGGAAATGGCGGGATTCGTCAGCCGAGACATTCAAGACCCACGTTAGAAGCGGAATTGGTCTTGGCTTAGCGGAGGACTGAACGTGCAATAGACTAGGATGTCTATAAGGGAATGAGGAAAGGTCCTGATTCTCTGGAGATATCGGAGAAGAATAGAAGGAGAAGATCAGATAATAATCCGCTGCATACGGCATGTGTCTCTGATTTCACCGGAACAGTTGCAGGCAGTGTAAGATTCGGGTTCTGTACGGTAATGGTATTGTAACATTAAGATCGGCCAGCCCTGTCAAGTGCCAAGACCGAAACTGGGTCGGTGGCGTTTCTAGCTTGTGCGCAGTGTATGGATATGGATAGTCTAGTGGGGCTCGGGGCACATTTATGATATCGGTCTGGAGTGGATACTGGTATGGTATGGTATATACAGTACACTTAGTAAAATAACTTACCGATAATCCATATCTGCTATGAAGTATGGAATGTAGGACTGCCCGTGTAGAGTTAGTATACAGAGTACATAGTCAATATAGTACACATATCTTGGAATATTGAACAGAAGACAATCAAATTGGGAATTGTGAGTAAAATAAGGCAAATCAAACAGTTCAAGGATTGCAAACTTTCAGGGGAATTTGATGCCGAGAACCCAACATCGTAAAACACGCGCAAGGATTATTTCCGGGGAAATATGGGGAGAAAAAAAAAAGAAAAAAAGCAAAGATTGCATCAGTGGGATGCAGTATGCACACCGTGCACTCTGCGCGTACCCCAAATAAGACAGTTGCCAGTCCACCCGCGGGCTGTTATGTACGATGGGCTGTACGAGTACGACCTGTAACCACGCCCAATGCTGCCCTAGCTCGTCGGCATCCTCTCAACTTCGTCACTCAAGCCACGCCAATTGTCCGCCTGCAGTTCGGCGTACTTGACACGCTCCTGGCTCCAGTCCTGATGCAGCCGGCTGATGTGATACTGGCTTCGCTGGAAGTGAACGAGTTCGTCGCGGATGCATTCTGTGATGAAGACGCCCCGAGCATGCTGTTGCACAATGGATTCTTTGTCCTAGTAGACAATCAAGGTTAGTATTACTGTAAGTGCCATTGAAACATGAGTCTCACCTTGAATATAGAGTCTTCAACCTTCTCGATCTCCCCTGGTTTGACGGTGCCCGAGGGTCGGGCACGTAGATCCTGCAGCTTCTGCTCACTAGTCTCAATGCGCCGTTCCAGCTGCGCAATATTGTTCCGTGCATACCGATCCCGCCGATCGAACATTTCACGGACACTGACCAAGCAATCGCGTTGCTGCTTTAGATCTTCTAGAACCCCCTCGCTCCATCCTCGAGCTTCGTCCTCCAGCAGACTTTGGCTGGCAGAGAGATGTCGAGCGGTCGCTGTGATGCCTGCATTAAGGGCCGGAATGTCATTGGTATCCACTGCGTATGTGTCTCTGGTGACTTCCGTCAAGGACTGCAGGGCGAGTGAGAACCGGAGGTGGTCAGCAGCCAGACCATCATTTCGCTTAGCCAATCGCTCAAGTAAAGTGCAAAGACTAATATAGATTTCCGCAGAGCGCTTGACACCACTGCGAACGGTTTCGAACGTTTCGTTGAGAGTGGCGGGTAATGAGTCCTCGAGATCCGGTGGGAGGACACGGCCAACAAATTCGTCTTGGACTGATATTGTGGCTTGTTTTCGCCACACCGAAAGTTCCTGGTTTCACAGTTATTGTCTGTCTCCCAACAACCCAAAAGGTAGCTTACTGTTGGAACGGTCAAAAACATGATCACAAGCTGCTCCTGACCAAGAACGGGATGGCGAACGAGGGCGTTGGTGAATCGAACAAGTCCGTGACGGCGCTTTTCGAGGAAAGAGGATGAATCCGCTGAAAGGTGAGTGCCATTGACTTCATAATTGTGAGTAAGCGATGAGGTGCGCTAAACTAGCGTTTTGCATACCTGAAACCCGCTTGGGGGGAAGAAGAGGCAATTGCCGGAAAGGAAATCGCTTTTGGAGGCAGTCCAATAGCCAAACAAAATCGCTGTAACGCCGAATAACCGTGCTACCTCTCCGGGCAGACTTAACCTCATAATTTCGGTGTTGAAACATAAACAAGCCTTCTTTCTCGGGGAGCAACGTGACAGTTACGGTCTCCTCTACCTGTGGGTTTGTCGACCGGCCGATACCAAGAGACCGACGTCGTGGTGTGATGTGGCGGGGCTCATCCTCTGGACCAAAACCACCGAGTGCTGGAGGCACCGTGCCCCCAAAGCTGCTTTCATCGCTCGGACCCGCTCCGCTGAAGTGATTGTTATCCCATCCAGACCCAAGACTGCTAGGCTGTACAGCCTCGGTCTGACCATTGGAATGCTCCCGCTGAACCACGTTGCTTTGTGTGGTGTCTTCAATCGCCTTGCTAGTCCACGCGTTCGTAGTGGACCTCACACTGCCGAATCCATTCGATACACGTGGTTCGATGCCTCCGCCTGTCTCATGGCCGTGGCCGTGGTGCAATTCTGGACTGCCCCATGGATCTGACTCCAATCCGCCTAATGACGCTCGTCGTAATAACCTTTGCGATTGTGCGGAGCCGGGGGTTTGCAAGGGAGAGGAATGGTACGAGGGAGTAGCAGGTCGCTGGTATGGTTGTTCAGAGTTCGCGTCGCCAGTCTTTCGTAGTCGGTCGAGGTAGCCAGCCTTTGGCTGGGGTAGTTCTGCATTAACTCTGCGTTAGAGGGATTATCCCGAATAATAAATAAAAATATCAAAGGGCGCAAAGTCAACTCACTTTTGCGGCGATCGTCCACTGCATCAAAGGAGAGTTCCTCGCCTTCTTGCGCTAGGCCCACCATCGCCAATAGCACATTGAACTCGCCACGACCGAGTCCATTAAAGCTTTCATGATCACCAGAAGCAACAAAGTTCAAGATTTTGCTTTGATCAGTTGCAGTGAGCCCGCTGCTTGAGAGAATCTCCCGCACAGAGGTCAACCCAATGCCAGAGCCAACCCTGTCCCCGCTATTCAGAATCAAGTCGTATGCGTCTATATAGCTCTCAGGTACGTCCGTATTGGGAAGCAATGTCCGAGCCAGATCGCGCCGGGCAGTTCTTTTGGCGATATTGTTTTGGGCATTCCAAGGAGAGGAGCTGTCGTCGCCGTCGTCATCGGCGAACAGCGAAGAGCCGCCCGTAGCCGGCTCGTCAGCAAACAGCGAGGACTTGGACCTCGCAGGATCACCCGCAGAGGGATCCTCTGGAGATGTGCCGAATAAGGACATCAGGAAACCGACGGGGTGGTGGTTGCGCCAGGAGTGCTGTCGGGGTCAGGTGTGGAGGTGAGGGCGATGACGATATTGGCGATCAAGCGGAGCTCCCGAGGGGGGCTGGTCGCACGAATATACAAGCCACTTTCGACCTCAAAAAGAAAATCAGTCCTGGAGACACTGCGATTCTCAAAAAGCTGAGACGAAAAGCGAATTCAGTGACGATTCAAGTCCAACGAGGTGAGAGAGATAACGGGCCCCAATGTCACTAGTACCGTGCCCAACCGAGTTAGTCAGGTCAGGCGAGTTGTACCAGCTACAACCCACTACATACATTGTGAAAGTTGAATTTGGGAAGATATTACTTTTTCCTTCATTCTGGTCCTTTGAGATTCGTCTCATTCAAATCAATTAACGTCTTGTAATATATTCTAAGGCATTGGCGTTATCGGAGATCAACATCGTGAGAGTAAGGGATGTCTCTCTTGAACTTGCACGTTTCAACATCAGTCTATGAACTTTCGAATTCAATCGTTCAAGGAGGTCAATCAAAAGAGAGAATCAGGTCTCTATGACATTGTGGAGCTCGCAGAGAATGCCGATACTTCTATACCCCGAAGATATGATTTGATTTGCGTCTCTTATCGAACGAACATCCAACATCGGATGGCTGCTCCGATATTGGAGCTTCATTGCAAGACCCCGTCACTGCTGTACAGCTCCCCACTCGGAAGACCCCCCCGATGGCTAGTATACCGAGGCAATGTATGAATATCATATTTAACAGCTTATCTGCCGGGGTGTTGACAAATTGATCTTGCTCTAACTAACTAACATTGGCCGAAACCTGTGTTCCTCTGTTCTCATTCCAACATAATATGCGTCCTGTTACTATTACTCGAGGAGCGAGGCTGAATTGTCTCAAGCCTCGCACTCTAGATAGATATTCAAGGCGATACTTGACCATGCTGAACCCTCCCAAATTCGAGAATGAAAAGATGGTGAGCAATATCAAAGTACATAATTGAACTTTGACTGACACAAATCAGCTCAACTACGCCAAAGGTTCTCCAGAAAGAGCCGAGTTGACCAAGACAATCAAGAAACTCAAGGGACAATTCCCGTTCACAATTCCTATCACTATCAATGGCTCAGAGGTATGTTAAAAATCACGGATACCAACTTGGGACATGTAACTCACGTATACTAGATCACTACTAAGGAATCCCGCTCC